GCACTATGAGATGCCCAATGGCTACAACACAGACTACGGTGCTGAGCGACTCCGTATCCCTGAGGGCCTATTCGATCCCTCCAACGTCAAGGTCTGATTACCTGGTATTGGGGTGCAGGTGGCTGGATCCCTGGATACTGGGGTGTAGGAGAGGCTGGGAAAGATTGCAAGGATCTGGGGAGGGGGGCCAGAGGGCCCAAAGCCCAGGTCATCCTTTGTCCACAGGGCCTGTCAGGGAACACCATGTTAGGTGTGGGCCACGTGGTGACCACCAGCATCGGCATGTGTGACATTGACATTCGCCCGGTGAGGCTTGGGCTTAAGGGGCCAAGGAAGAGTGGGGAGGCAGAGAGAGTTGTGCCCTGCAGACTTACTCCTCTTCCCTGCTCTCAGGGCCTGTATGGTAGTGTCATTGTCACCGGTGGGAACACACTACTGCAGGGCTTCACGGACAGGCTCAATCGAGAGCTTTCCCAGAAGACCCCACCGGTAGGAGCCCACCCCTTTCCCAGGGCCCGGGGCTCAGACCTTCAGGACCAAGCATGGAATGCTTAGACCTCCATCCCTATGGCTTCCTCCCACCTCCCGAGCCCTGTCCCTTCCAGAACCGACATGTCTGCTTCCCCCAGCAACTTTCTCCCCGCAGAGCATGCGGCTGAAGCTTATTGCCAGCAACAGCACCATGGAGCGCAAGTTCAGCCCCTGGATCGGGGGCTCCATCTTGGCCTCACTGGTGAGAGGGAAAGGGTGTGATCTAGTAGGATCGTGGGGAAAGGCACTCAGAAAGCTCCCACCGCCTTGGCCACCCATCCATCCATTAAGCAAACATTTATTTCTGAGATAGAGCAGTCTGTGATTGCTCCCAGAAGGCAGAACGCTATCAGGACACAGATCAGGGAGAAGAGGGAGAGGAAGCTAGAGGGAGTGGTTGTGCTGAGAGGCTGTGACAAAGACACTCATTGGCCCCGCGGTACAGAGGGGACACCTGGAGGTGGTGCCCAGGGAGCATTGTGGGTAGGCATGTCTGGGAAGACTGTCAGGCACCTTCTTGGGATCGGAGTGGGGACTGGATCCAAGTGGCCCACTCAGGGAGGCTCTTTCCATTGTTCTGGAGTCACTGAGTGGGTATCGGGTGCATGAAGAGGGACCGGCACCTGGAAGAGGAGGCAGGTGAGTTGGTTCTGGGACAGGAGGTGGTGAGTTCAGTCTGGATCAGCTGCTGGAATAGAGGCTAGATGTTGATCAGGGACCTGGAAGGTACGCACTGGTCCCACACAGAGGGAACAGCAGGACCATATCAGGACAAGGACATCTACTGCAAGAAGGGCCCAAGGAGACAGGAAGGAGGATAAAAACATAGAGGCTGACAGTAGGAACTTAGCTCTGGGCTGGATCGTGTTAGCCACAGGGTCATTAAGGGCTTTCTCTGTGGTTGGAGTAGACAAAGCCTGACTCAGTCTCTTACTTTATGACAGTCAGAAGCTGAGACAAGTAAACAGAAAGTCCCCAGAAAGTGTGCAGGGAGCATCTGATGTATCTTGGGTGGTGTTTTTGTTTTTATTTTAGGTGTGGGAGATTAAACCAAAGGCCTTCACACAGAGCTACATCCCTTGTCCTTTTTGTTTTCTATCTTAAGACACATCTCACCAAATTACCCACTTTGGGCTGAAACAGGCAATCCTCCTGTCTCAGCCACCCAGATGCTGGGATTACAGGTGTGCAGTACCACTCCTTGTTGGACATGGGGAGCTGGGAATTTAGATCAGTCACACCATGCCTGCCTCACAAGCACAAGGTCCTGAGTTCAATCCCCAGTACTGAAACACACACACACACACACACACACACACACACACACACACACACACACCCCACGCACACACACAAACCAACAAGGGGCCAGGCCTGATGGTACACACCTGTAATCCCAGCACTCAGGAGGCTGAGGCAGAAGGATCACCACAAGCTGACCAGCCTGAGCTACACAGTGAGTTCAAAGTTCAAGACCAGCCTAAACTACATAACAAGACTCTGTGTCACAAAAAAAATGAAACAAAACAAAACAACTGACACAGGAAGAGGAAGAACTTGGGGCAAAGAGAAAAAGGGTGCTCAGGCTGTGGGGAAAATAAGACGAGGCCCAAAGACAGATGCGGTCTGATCTGGGTTTTAGGGACCCACATGAGCTGCAGGGTGGGGAGTGAAGGGAAGGGGGCAGACAGAAGGCAGGGACAGGGCCCATGGATGTGGCAGGGATGTGGCTGTCAGCCAGTAGCATTAGGCTCACCCAGAGGTTTATGAACAGGAGGTCAAGACTCCGTTTCCATGCAAGAGGATGAAGACAGCACTGTTGGAAATCAGCTGTCCAACAGAAAGGCAATGCAAGTCACATACTTAATTTTAAATTTTTATAGCCATATTTAAATAGAGTACAAAGAAACAGGTGAAATAAATTGTTAAGAACCTACGTTAGCTGGGAGTCGTGGCACACTCCTGTAATCCCAATACTTAGGAGTCTGAGGCAGGAGGATCACCACTAGTTTGAAGCCAGCTTGGGCTACATAGTGAGGTGAAGACCAGTTTAAACTACATAGCAAGAACTTATCTCAAAAAAACCCAAAACAACCAAAAATAGAACACACTTTATAACTAGGTTTGGTGGTACATACCTGTGACCTCAGCACCTGGGAGGCTGAGGTAGGAAGATTACAGGTCTGAGGCCAGCCTGGGGTATGTAGTGAATTCAAGACAAGCCTGGAGGCCAGGCATGGTAGCACATGCCTATGGTCCTAGCCTCAGGAGGCTGAGACAGAAGGATCTCCATGATCTCAAGGCTAGCTTGGACTACATAATGAGTTCAAAATCAGCCTGAACTACATACCCTGTCTCAAAAACAAAAAACACCCACATCCCCCCAAAGAAGACAAGCCTGGACTAAATAGCAAGTCCCTGACTCTAAAAACAAAAAAGAACAGAACAGAATATACTTTATTTAATCCAATATATCCAAAATATTCAAAATATTCCTTTTTTTTTTGGTACCAGAGATCGAACTTGGGTCCTTGCACTTGCGAAGCAGGTGGCGGAACCACTCCGCTAAATTCCCAACCCGCAAATATTACCATTTTAATGTGATCTGTATAAAAAATTCTTTTTTATTGGGTTTTTTTTTTTTTTTTTTGAGATAGCGTATTGCTTTGCAGTCCAGGCTGGTCTTGAACTCACTATGTAGCCCAGGCTGGCTTCAAACTCTCCACAATCCTCCTGCCTCAGCATCCTGAGTGCTGAGATTATAGGTGTGCATCACCACGTCTGGCTGAAAAATTCTTAGTGAGATATCTTACCTTCTTTTTCTATACTTAGTCATCAAAACCTTGGGCCGGGGATTTAGCTCAGTGGTTCTGTCACCTGCCTTGCAAGCACAAGGTCCCACATTTGATCCCCAGTACCAAAAACAACGACAACAAAAGCCTAACATATTTCCACAAAGAACATGTCTCCATGTGGACTATCCACATTTCAAGTACTCAGTGGCCACAGGAGGCCAGCAGCCACTGAGTTGGGCAGCACAGCCTTAGAGGGTGAGAAAGATCACAGAAGAGGAATACTTGGGGAAGATGTGAACTTGGGACAGGTGGAGTTTGAGGTCCAGAGGGATGTTGGGGGCAGGCAGTTCCAAGAGATAGCTGGGTGTTTGGGTCTGGAACAAGAGGCTGGAAAGGGTGGGGTGAATGAGCCAGCTGAGGAAGGCTGCTCCATAAGCCCGAGAGAGAAACGGGACGGGAACCTTCAAGAGGAGCACAGCAGCCAGGCAAGAGAAGTGACAGTGAGAGGCACCCAGTGCTGGACACCTCAAGGGACAGGTTTGTGCAGGGGCGGGTGGCAGTTGGGCACCAGGAGTTCCTTAGTCATCATCCAGAAGTCAACATCCAGAAGTTGGGTGTGTCACACGCTGTGTGTGTGGGTGTGTGTGTGCCCTGATGGAGGGAGGAGAGGGGACCTAGTGGAGAGGAAAATATGCCTGGGGGGGCTGTTGAGTGTTGGGGTTCATTGGCGGGGTGGTTGTCTGGCCTGGCCCGGCCTGGGCTGTGACACCATCCAGTCAGGAACAGCGCCAGCGCAGGCCAGAGAAGTGTTCAATAAATGCTTGGATGAATGGCCTTGGTTGGTGCGAAGCTGGTATTTGCCCTGTTAGTGTGGAGAGAGAGGGCAGCGAAGGAGGAAGGGTGAGACAGGAAGGATGTAGGGTCTAGGAGGCGGTGAGGCCGGGAGGAGGGAGAGCTTCCACAGGGCCACCTCCGTCCCTGCCTGCAGGGCCATCCTGACCGCAGACCTGGCCCCTTCCCTTCCCAGGGCACTTTCCAGCAGATGTGGATCTCCAAGCAGGAATACGAGGAGGGCGGGAAGCAGTGCGTGGAGCGGAAGTGCCCCTGAGGACGGCCCCTCCTGACACATACACATGCCCATGTAGCGCAGCGCTGGAGAGCTAGGGTCGGAGAGGGGTGTTTCCCCCGCCCGGACTCCAAGAGTGCCGCAGATCTAAGCCCCCGAATCCCTCATGTCCACACTGACCCCTGTTCTTCCCCTCTTGTCCTCTTAGATTGTGATGTTTCTTGAGTTGAAAGAAGTAAAAATGTTTTAAAGAAAAATGTTGAGTCTCTGGTGGGCAAGTGGGACCTAGAGGGAGGCGAGGGAAGGGCTGCACCTGCATTCTTGCCCGATTCCACAACGAGCCACGGATTCTTCAGGTTTCAGGGGGACCTTGATCCAAAGACTCTACCCACGGGCCGGGAATTTAGCTCAGTGGTTCCACCACCTGGCTTGCAAGCACAAGGGCCTGAGTTCGATCCCCAGTACCAAACAAAACAAAACAAAAAGACTCCACCCTGGGAAGACCCAAGGAGGAGCTGAGAGGGGGCTAAGAAGACTGGCGAAGGAGCGGGGCCAGCATGGGGCGTGGTCTAGGCGGAGCGGGAGGCGGGGTCTGAGTGGGCGGGGCTCGGCCCAGTTTGGGTCTCCGCAGATCCGCAGAGCCACCAGCACTCAGGACCAGTCCTTCAAGTGAGCCGGGTGGCGCCTTGTCTCCCTTCCCTGGCTACTGCTTAGACAGGTATGGGGCGGGGACTGGGTCACTGGTGAGCCCCCAAAGGCTCAGATTTTCTCTTCAGACCCAGGAAGGAGCTGAGGTTTCTGGGCAGAGCCCGGTCGACAGTGAAGTGAGGGGCCGTGGATCCTGGGCCTTCTTATTCAGGAGTATTTATTTGCCCAAGGATCCTCTGCCAGGACTGGAAACCTGCGCAGCTTGCTTGAAATTGTATGGAAAACGTAGCAGTTTGTGCCTCTGGTGTGTTTCTGGGACGAGGTTACCTGGCCTTCCATCAGACTCAGTCCTCAAAGGAGTCTCCAAGTTCTTTGGTAACCAAGAGGCGCGGTGCTCAGGGGCAGCCATGACTTGCCCAAGGTCTTGCAACTCTGCCCACGGCTTGGGCAGGACCCTTTCTGGCTCCCCCAATGCAGGGTGGACCCTGACCCGCAGATCCCTGACCCAAGGACCCCTGTCTTGAGCCCTCACCCATCCCTCCTGACCATGTCCCTCTCTCTCCAGCATCCAGCAGAGGCCAGATTCCAAGGAGACAGACACCCAAGGGGCTAGACCAAAGCCTGGGTCGCACCACTGCAGTGGCTGCAGCTCAGGACCCCTGGACAGGAGTCAGGGCAGGAGGAGCAGTGGATGTGCCACTAGGCCTGGCCATGGGGTCCACAAGCCAGAGGAGGAAGGGGCAGATATCTTCACAGTGAAGCTTCCAAGGGGTTGAGGGCTTTGGAAGGGGTCCCCAAGCACACTGGGAAGAGTGGAAGCAGGAAAGGGGAGGGAGGTACCCATATCTCCCCCTTCCCTTTGCTTTTAGCTCCCTCCCCCACTCTTGACCCCTGCCGGGAACCTAGAGGCCAAAGTCTGCCCCAAGGTAAAAAAAAAAAATTGTTTTGCAGAGAGTGGGCAGGAGTGGGCTGGACTGTGGAGGGAGTGGTGGGGGGTGGCACAGCCCCTGGTCCTCTGGGGGCTGGGGAGTTGACTGGAAGCCTGGAGAGAGGCCAAGGCTGTGCTCCCACCCCAGTGTGTGTGAAGTGAGGAGCAGACTGCCTGCCAGGCCTGATAAGGGGCCCCCGGGGCTCTCACAAACGGTTTTTCTCACTGGGGGGTGGGGTATGCTGCAGGGCTCCGGAGGGGGCATGAGCATGGAGCGGCTTCGGGGTCTGCTCCAGACAGCGGTAAGACCGGGATGGCTGGGAGCACTATGAGCCTTCCCGCAGCTCCCTCGGCCCCCTCCTGGCCGGGGGCCCCCTCCTTTTTCCACTTTCTTGCTTGGATTTCCTCTCTTTTTGCTTCCTTCTTGGGCCCCTCTCCCTGCCCGCTGCTCACGTGGCACCCCAAAGTCACTGACACCATTATTGCCAGGCCACCCCCCATCCCCCAGGCCTCTTCTCCCAATCTCACACCTACCCTGCCCCCGCCCCCCACAGCAGCTGTCCCCGAGACCCTCTCAGAGCATCTACAGGCGTGTGGAAGGCCCCCACCAGGGCCACCTGGTGGAGGAAGAAGACAGGGAGGAAGGGGCTGAGCTGCCTGCCCGCTTCTGCCCCATGGAGCTGAAGGGCCCTGAGTCCCTGGGCTCTCGACCTGGGCTGCAAAACCTCATACCCTGGGCAGCAGCAGGACGCAAGGCTGCCCCCTACCTGGTCTTGACGGCTCTACTGATCTTCACTGGGGGTGAGAGCCGCCCCCTTTCCCCCAAGGAAGGGCTCCAGGCTGGGAAAGATTTCTGGGGTTCAGGGGGAGGCATAAGGAGAATCCTCATCTTGCCCGCTGCCAGCCTTCCTCCTGGGCTACGTGGCCTTCCGAGGGTCTTGCCAGGCATGCGGGGACTCTGTGTTGGTGGTCAGTGAGGACGGCAACTCTGAGCTAGGCCTGGACTCTCACCGAGGAACACTCTACTGGAGTGACCTCCAGGCCATGTTCCTGCGGCTCCTGGGGGAGGAGCGCCTGGAGGAGGCCATCAGGTAAGATCAGCCTGCCCCCTTCCTGGCCCTAGCTGTCCTCTCTTCATCCACTCAGGCTGCCTCCCTTCCTAAGTCTTCCACCTGCCTCACTGGCCTCTTGTGCAGTGGTCCCAGGAAAGGAGGCAGCCTCCAGCTGAGACTCCAGGAGCTACTAGAGAGCTGCCTGAGTGACAACAAAGGGTGCAGGATCATCACAAAAGGGGGCAAACCCAGAAGCTTCCTGACCGCTGCACCAAGAGGCCTGGCCATGATCTGTGGCAGTGGGAACCTGGGGAACTCTGCACCTGGCAGAGGGGTGCCAGGCAGGCAAGGATGAGCAAGTCCACAGCACAGGAAGTTGCCCTGTGCCCTTTCATCCCAGGCCAGGTCACTGTACCCACTGCCCTGTCTAAATCAGGAACAGTGTTTCTGTGGGTCCCTGGGGTTTTTAAGCAGTCACATAGTAGAAGACTCGTGTTCTCTTTTCCAGTCCTTATTCATTTATTTGTTCATTTACATGTATTTATTTTGTGATACTGGAGATTGAACTCCTGGCTTTCACACTGAGCTACATCCACAGCTCTTTTTTTTTTTTTTAGACAGAATCTTGCTAAACTGCCCAAGCTGGGTTCAAACTTGAAATCCTCCTGCCTCTGTCTCCCAAGTGCTAGGACTACAGGTGTGTGTGCGCCACAACACTGGCCTTCTACCAATCCTTGTAATTTTTATGTCCCTTTCATTTCTTAGGGCATTGGTGATGAGATATATTCAGGTTATATTGACAGTAGATATCCTTTGCCTACATCCTGACATTAATAGGAATCTTTTTTTTTTTTTTTTTTTTTTTTTTGGTACTGGGAATCAAACTCAGCAAACTCAGGACCTTGCACTTGCCGCCAGGCAGGCTCAGCTGGAGCTGCTCAGCTACATCCCCAGCCCAATAGGAATCTTTTTAATTTTGGGGGGGTACAAGGACATTGGGCTTGCAAGGCTGGTGGTGAAACCCCTAAGCTAAATCCCTGGCACCATTTTTTTCCCAATAGGAATCTTTTAATAATACTTTGGCATGGGCATGAACTTTGCTGAAGACTCTGGATTGCATTTTTTCCCTTTTATACTGGGGATGGATTCTGGGTACATCCTTAGCCATTTATTTATTTATGGTACTGGGGATTAAACCCAGGACATTTATACTGAGCTACATCCCAGGCTTGCCTCTTTCTTTTCTCTTTCTTTCTTTTTCTCTGAGACAGAATCTCACTATGTATTCCAAGCTGGCCTCAAACTCCTATCCTTACACTTCAGCTTCCCAAGTGCTAGGATTACAGGTGTAATCACCTGTAACCACACCTGGCTTGTTTTATTATTTTAAATTTTATTTATTTAGTAGTACTGGCTATTTTTTTTTTCCAGTACTGAGAATCAAACTCAAAACAAGTGCAGCACCACTGAACTACATCCCTGGCCCAGCACTGGGTATTTTAAATCCAGGACCTTTGCAGTAAGCTATATCCCCATTTTTTTTTTTTTTTTTTTTTAATTTTTTATCTGGGGCTGGGGATTTAGCTCAGTGGTTCTGCCACCTGCCTTGCAAGCACAAGGACCCAAATTTGATCCTTGGTAACAACAACAAAAAAATTTGTCAGCTTTTATTTTTTAAAGAATATCCCTAAATCACTAAATTGCCCAAGCTGGATTCAAACTCTCAATCCTCCTGCCTCAGCCTCCCAGAGTGCTGGTATTACAGGTGTGTACCACCATGCCCACCCAAGGACCCAAGGTCTCTTTTTACCTTGCCTTTTCGGGAGCCAAATGTGGATAGCAAGGGACAACTATATATGTAATATTGTTTCCTGTGTATATGTAGATTTTTATAAACAGCAATGCTAGACTAGGCATGTAACTTAGTGGTAGAGTATATGCTTAGTGTGTGCAAGGCTTTGGGTTCAGTCCCTTGCATGTGCACACACACACACACACGTTTGTGTAAAATTCTATGTGTTCATTTTTTTTTTTGTGTGTTTTTTTTTTTTTTTTTTTTTTTTTTTTTTTTTTTTTTTTTTTTTTTTTTTTTTTTTTATGGTACCAGGGATTGAACTCAGGAGCTTGCACTTGTAAAGCAGGCAGCAGAACCACTGAGCTAAATCCCCAGCCTTGTGTTCATTATTTTTAAACAATATGGAATAATATAGCTTTTATTTTTTTGTACTGGGGATCAAACTCAGGCCCTTGCGCTTGCGAGGCAGGGTGGTACCACTGAGCTCAATCCCCAGACCTTTTTATTTTTTATTTTAAGATAGTTTCTCACTAAGTTTTCCAGGTTGGCCTTGAACTTTTGATCCACCTGCTTCAATCTCCCAGAATTCTGGGATTATAGATATAGCTATCTTCAGTGTGTTTTAAATCTAGATTTTAAAACATTTCAGTGTACATATTACAGTGTGTACCTCTGGTTGATTGCTCCTTGCTGCTGCAGGAGAACTTTGTGTGTCCTCAGGTTTTATACGCCATTTCAGATAAGCTCTTAAGATCTAATGGGGACTTGGGTCAAGGTGTCAGACATGGCACTAAGCCTGTGGACTGCAGGTTGCAGTCCTGATCAGAACTGAGGATGGTGGCTGAGACTAAGGAGCCTCATCCACATGGATCCTGAAGCAGTATAGAAGCACCACGGACTGACTAGATGTGAAGAGGGAAAAGATAAGCCAGATGCTAAAGTCCCCAGTGAAAGTGTACAAGCAGCTGATTGGTTAGATTCCAGCCAATCATCACCTAATCATTAGAAGATTACAGCAATGAAGAGGAAGAGGAGGTAGGAAAGCTGGATGGTGTGGGCCTCAGAGGGAGAGAATTACCCCAGGAGAACTGGTCAAAACTGGTCAACCCAGGAGCACCTCCAAACCTCAGGGACCTGAGTCTCCTGCCTCTGAGTTGCACAGGAGACTTGGACTCTCAGGAGAGAGCCAGGATTCTGTGAAGGCCAGCTGCAGATGATGAATGGGGAGGAGAACTTGTGTACCACAGGAAGGGCGCAGGTGGGGCCAGGTGACAGATAAATGAGCCAGATGACAAGTAGGCCATTTGGGAGCACAGATGAGATGGAAGAACAGCAAGAGTTTGGGCAAAAAACCTGAGCATTGGGCTGTGACTAGGGAAGAATACAGGCTGAGCCGGGCGTGGTGGTGCACGCCTGTAATCCCAGCACTCGGGAGGCTGAGGCAGGAGGATTGTGACTTTGAGACCAGCCTGGACTACATAGTGAATTCCAGGTCAGTCTCAATTCCAGGTGAGACCCTGTCTCAAAAAACTCAATACCTAGTGAGACCCTGTCTCAAAAAACAAACAAACAAAAACCAATACAAGTTGAAGTCTCCAATGGGACAAATGACCCAATGTTTCCACTGGTAGCCTTGGTGTGAAGTCCCAGGAGGCCGAGGAGGAGGACCTTGTGCAACAGGGTCTGCTGCTTCAGCCCAATTGCCCTTCCCCCCTCCTTTTTTTGTTGTTTTTTTTTTTTTTTCCTGTACTGGAGAATGAATCCAGGGCTTTCACACTGAGCCACACCCCCACCTCTTCTTTTATTTTGAGATATGGTGTCTAAGTCACTAAGTTGCTCAGGTTGGGCTCCAACTTGGAATCCTCCTGCCTCAGCCTTCCAGAGTGCAAGCTGGGGCCACAGGTGTGTACCACCATGCCCACCTAGCATAGCTGTCACTTTGAAGAGCATTTCCTTACCTGGCACACATAATGTGCATATGCGTGCCCGTGTAGGGGAAGCAGGTGAACTAGAGTTTGGCCTGAGCAAGGAAGAATGGAAGGGGTAGTAGGAAGGACCCTGGCTCTGAGGAGCTGAGATTGCATGCAGGAGGCCCAGGAAGCTCTCAGCCACAGCTGTGATGGTGATAGGAGAGAGCCGGCAGCATGGAAAATTTTACTCCAATTTAGGCCTCTTGAGTCTCACTTCTCCGCTTCTCCTGCACGAACTGGGGCGACTCAGGCATCCTCCCCACCTCTGCAGGCGCCCATTGGTCCCAGCCCTTCTCCTCCTGGACCCCAATTCCACCTCTCCGCACGCAGGCAAACCAGCTTTCGGGAGCGCATGGCCGGCTCGGCCGGGATGGCCTCCCTTGCCCAGGACACACTCGCGTTGATGTCCCGCCAGAAGCTGGACCACGTGTGGGCTGACACTCATTACGTGGGGCTGCAGTTCCCGGACCGGTGAGTGCCTGGGGTCTGGGGGCGCAGCAGGGGAGGGTCGCTCACCAGCCCCCTCCGCCTTTCTCAGGGCTCACCCCAACGCCTTGCACTGGGTCGATGAGGATGGAATGGTCGGTGAGCAGCTGCCGCTGGAGGACCCCGACGCCTACTGTCCTTACAGCGCCACCGGCAACGTCACGGTGAGCGCCTCAGGCCCTTGCCCGAGTAGAGGTGGAGGGAGTGGGCTGCTCGCCTCATGGTCGCCGGCGTCCACAGGGAAAGCTGGTGTACGCCCACTACGGGCGGCCCGAGGACTTGCAAGAACTGAGGGCCCGGGGCGTGGAGCTGGCCGGCTGCCTCCTGCTGGTGCGCGTAGGGATGACCAGCTTTGCGCAGAAGGTGAGGCATCTGAGGAGCACAGTGTGGGGTGGGAGGTGGGGGCCTGCGGGGACCTTCAGGACGGACCTCAGGATGGGAAGCACCTAGGACGCTTTGTTAGTGGGAGAAAGGAAAGACCCAGAGGTTGTAAAGAAATGTTGATAGAGAACCAAGAAACCAGAAAGTTTGGGGACATCAGATTGGGTACAGAATAGACACTCTGATGAGGAGGGGGCCTACAGGGTGTTGGGGCTGCAGAGGCATTTCTGGGGCACAGAGTGGTCAGACAATGGCCTGGGGATGCCCACAGCTACTCATTAAGGATGGACAGTTGCTGGGCCTGTAATCCCAGCACTCTGGGAGGCTGAGGCAGGAGGATAGCAAGTTTTAGCCCAACCTGAGCAACTTACTGACAGAGCAAGACCTTATCTCAAGATCAAAAAGGGCTGTGGATGTAGCTCACTTTCAAGACCCTGGGTTCAATCCTCAGTACCAAAAACAAATAAGAAAAAGGCTGGAGATAGCTTAGGGTTCCCCAGTTTCAGTCACTGAAAAAAGGGAAAGTGGGGGGGCTATGGACAATTACAGATGGAAGGTGCCAAAGGCCATTTTACTTTTTCTGCCCTCCCCAGGTGGCCACCGCACAGCATGCTGGTGCTCTCGGGGTGCTCCTGTACCCTGACCCAGCAGACTTCTCCCAGGACCCTCACAAGCCAGGCCTGTCTAGCCAGCAGGCTGTGTTCGGACACGTGAGTCTGGGGAGCCAGCAGTACAGCCCTGAGCTTCAGGGCCACATGACCTTGGAACCAGAGTGGCCCTGGCTGCAGTTGCAGGGTGACTGCCCCTTTCCCCACAGGTGCACCTGGGAACTGGAGACCCCTACACTCCTGGCTTCCCTTCCTTCAATCAAACCCAGTTCCCCCCAGTGGCATCCTCAGGCCTTCCCAGCATTCCTGCACAGCCCATCAGTGCGGACATTGCTTCCCACCTGCTGAGGTGAGGACTGTGTGGGGAACTCAGGGGTGGAGTAGGGGGATGCTGCAGCTGACTATCAGTGCCTCTGGGTGAACTAGAAAAAGATGATGCTTCTGGGAGGACACACCACTTACCAGGACCCAGCATTTGGTGAATGGACCTCTAGATTTCACACCTAGCTCTGCTGGACACTCTTGAGCAGGACACATCCTGTACAACTGTCCAAGGCAGCCCAAGCTGTACTACCCCCACTAAGCAGGGTGCAGGGCAGAGATCGGGAGCCAGAGTGTGGGAGGGAGGGAAAGAGTGAAAGAGAGGCTTTTGGCTCTTCTGTAGCCTAAGCCTCTGCCACTTCCAACCCTTTTTTCTCTACTCCTCTTCAGGACACTCAAAGGCCCAGTGGCCCCCCAGGAATGGCAGGGGCACCTCTCAGCATCCCTTTATCGCCTGGGCCCTGGGCCAGGCCTGCACCTTGCAGTCAACAACCACAGAACCTCCACCCCCATCAGCAACATCTTTGGGTGCATCGAGGGCTTTGCAGAGCCAGGTGTGCCCCTATCACCCATGGCTTATGTGAACGGAGCCTCTGCTAAGGACCTGGACCACACAGGGCTGGTGCAGGAAGCCCTAGGGACAGAACAAGAGTGGTGACCTGGGGAGGGAAACTGGGACTGAAGAGCATGGCAGTCCTCATGTTCCAGCCTGTCCGGAACAGTTGCACAGTAGTGAGTTCCCCAGAACTGGAGAGAAGCAAGCCTAAATTGGATGCTGTTACAACCAATTCAAGCATAAATGAGAGGTCAGATGCAGGACTCTCTCAGGCTTAACTAGATGTGGATGGTGGTGGGCATACAAGTAAGTTGTGAGCTGGAGAGCAGGATGTGAGTGCTTAGGGAGGAGGGCAATGCTGCTAAGTGCCCGTCCAGAGAATCACCATGGGGAAAGCCCTGGGAACACCCCCTACACACAACCTGGAGTTGCAAATGTGCCCCTAAACATGTCCTCCCCAGATCACTATGTTGTCATCGGGGCCCAGAGGGATGCGTGGGGCCCAGGAGCAGCCAAGTCTGCGGTGGGGACTGCCATTCTGCTGGAGCTGGTGCAGACCTTTTCCTCCATGGTGAGCAATGGTAAGGTCAGGGTCACCGCCTGGGCTGGGCAGAGCTGGGGCAGAGGCAGCTGGAGGTACAGACAGCTTGAGCTCCATACCCTAGGGGGCAGCCCTGGCTGAAAGTCACTTCACCTCTGAAGCATTTCTTTCCTCCTTAAAAGATGAAAGTACTAGTTGTGCCCACGGATCTGAGTGACAAGCAGAGTCCATGCACACAGCTGTCTCCATCACTATTATAGCTGGGACAGGGCAGAACCCAGGGGTAACATGGGCCAGGTTGGGGGCTTGGTGAGAGGGAAGGAGAAACTTCCCTAGGGACCAGGACAGAAGGAGACAAATGAAGGGGCCTTTGGTGCCCCCCAGAAGAGCCCGTGATCCCTTTGTCCCCAGGCTTCCGGCCCCGCAGGAGTCTGCTCTTCATCAGCTGGGACGGAGGGGACTTCGGCAGTGTGGGCTCCACCGAGTGGCTGGAGGTGATTCTGGGTCCTGGGCTGGCAGCCAGGCAGGGGGGAGGTGGGCGGGTTCCCTCCCCACACTCTTCCCCACCCACAGGGCTACCTCAGCGTGCTGCACCTCAAAGCTGTGGTCTACGTGAGCCTGGACAATGCAGTGCTGGGTGAGCTGGGACAATGCCCCAACCTGGCCCCCTCAGGCCCACCTTGGCCCCTGTGCCAAGCCCTGAGCCTGGCATCCCTCCCTTCCCCTCTCTTCAGGGGACGACAAGTTCCACGCCAAAACCAGCCCCCTTCTGATCAACCTCATTGAGAGCATCCTGAAGCAGGCAAGAGGGATAGGGACAGGGAGTGAAGGAAGCTGGGGGGAGGGGCGGAGTCTGAGCCAGGTCTCCTCCCGCCCCCAGGTGGACTCCCCTAACCACAGTGGGCAGACATTATATGAACAGGTGGTGTTCACCAATCCCAGCTGGGAAGCGGAGGTGTAAGTTGGGGTGAGGGGGGATGGGGGGGCCTGAGCCCATGGAGCCCTCTAACTGGCCGCCCTCCAGGATCCAGCCTCTGCCCATGGACAGCAGTGCCTATTCCTTCACGGCCTTTGCGGGGGTCCCTGCAGTGGAGTTCTCCTTCCTGGAGGTGAGACTTCCGGCTGGGAAGGGAGCCATCCCTTGGCCCTCTGCACCACACTCCCGCCCCCTATGCCTCCCATGTCCCCGCAGGATGGCCAGGAGTACCCGTTCCTGCACACGAAGGAGGACACCTACGAGAACCTGCACAGGATGCTGCGAGGCCGCCTGCCTGCTGTGGCGCAGGCTGTGGCCCAGCTCGCTGGGCAGCTCCTCATCCGGCTCAGTCACGACCACCTGCTGCCTCTCGACTTCGGTCGCTATGGGGACGTGGTCCTCCGGCATATCGGCCACCTCAATGAGTACTCTGGGGACCTCAAGGTTCAAGATGCTAGCCCGGCTTCCGGCCTCTGGGGTGGGGGCACTCCTCCCCTTCGGGTGCCACCCAGGCCAGGGGGCCCGCCCCTCCTTCCTACACCATCCCTAGGGTATAGATCTCCTCCAGGAGCCTGGCCCTGTTACTCCATCCTCTGTCACCCAGCCTGAGGACAAAGCCAGGGATAAACCCCAACATCACATATCCAGGGTCTTCTCCCACGGTCCCATCATTCTGCCCCCCAGTACCCCCATACTTCCTCCCTCCTGGTCCCAACCCTGTCCCCCAGCATCCTGACCCCATCCTAGGCTGGGGCCAGACCCCAGCCGTAGGCCCCAGCCCGCATCTTGCCCTCAGGCCCGCGGGCTGACATTGCAGTGGGTATACTCGGCCCGTGGGGACTACATCAGAGCGGCGGAGAAGCTACGGAAGGAGATCTACAGCTCGGAAGAGAGCGATGAGAGGCTAATGCGCATGTACAACGTGCGCATCATGCGGGTAAGCCCCGCCCCTTCCAGTCTACACCTCCCTCCAGAACTCTTGGCTACAGCATGCTTGCTCCACCTGCGCTCCGCTGGTCCGCTGTTTGGTCCCTGTCTCCTGGACGTGCCCTGTCCTGGATCCACCATGCTCACAGACCAGCCAGGCTGGAGAACCCAACTGGGCATTGAGGCAGGCCCTGTGGAGCGATGCCACGGAAGTGGTGGGCCGGCCCTTTGGCTGCCGTGGCTTGTGGCTTGTGGTTCGTGGCTCGGCCCACAGCCCTCCCTCCTATACTCCGCTTCCACGCCCCGGAGCCATTGTCCACAGTACAATAGTCACAAGGTTACAGCCTGGGAGGTGCAAAAGAAATTCAGAACGTGGAGAGCTGGCTTCCTTCTGGTGACAAGATGGGGTTGAATCCAGACAGGCTGTCTGGAAGAGGTGTCACGTGAAAGTTAAGCGCATATTCACTCACCAGTCCTTCCTGATTAGTTTGGAATGTTTGGTAGATCACATTCCCTGTCCAGTTCCTCATCCTCCCATCTTCTCACCCTAAGAACTTAACCCCTAAATCAGTAGCAGCGAACCGATGGCACACGTGTCACAACTACAGGAGGCTGTTTATATCACTGAAAGCTCTAAAGGTTCGCCATCACTGCCCTAAACCCTTTGATTTCAGGAAATGGGTGAGTCGGGACTATGTGGTGGGAAAAGGTTCACAGGAAATAATTAGAAGCAGAACCGTCCCTGCAGTGCAGATGAGCCAAGGGACCCATAGTATGCACGTGGGGCCACACATGCGCACAAGTGGATGGTTTGCACGGAACACGTCACCCCTTAGGGATTCCTGGTCTTTCTCCCCCAGTTTTTTCCTGCGTGTGCCACTGCCCATCACCCTTGGCATTACTCATTCATTCTTTCTGCTTTCAGACTTGTCCCTCCAGCTCTTCATTCCATGCTCCTTTCTCCTGCTGTCTCTTATGCTTCTTTCTTTCTCTGTGTCCTCTTCTTCCTCCTCTTCTTCTGATCTCCTTTTTGTATCCACCACTGAGGTGCACATGACCCTGGGGTGAGAAAAGAGTTGGCATGGCTCATTCACATTCAGAGGTCTTGGTTTATTTTCTGCTGTGTCAGACTCCAAAAACAGACCAGTCCAAAAGTTGCTCCCCACTTAGGAGTAAAGGGCCTCTGTGTGTAAAGGTTCACAACTCCAGTTCAGGGCTGGCTACAGGGACACTCAGGACTTCAGACCAAGGAACTCTGGCTCTGGACTAGGGGTTGGTAAACCACAGTCAGCAAATTCAAACCAAATTCAGCCTGCTGCCTGTTTTTGAACATAAAGTTTTATTGCAATACCAGCCGTGCTCATGGGTTTCCATGTGGCTTGTGTCTGCTTTTGTGCTAAAGCAGCCACACTAACTAATTGCAATAGAAACAGCATGGCCTGCAGAGCCGAAAATATTTACTCCTTGTTTTTTTGTTTTTGTTTGTTTGTTTTTTGTTTTTGTTTTTTGGGGGATTTTTGTACCAGGGATAGAAATTGGGTCCTTATGCTTGTGAGGCAGGTGCCAGAACCACTAAGCTAAATCCCTGGTCCTACTCCTTGGGTTTTTGCAAAGCTTGCTGACCTCTGCTTTAGACTGTGTGATTTGGGTCTTGAAGAGGCAGAACCTAGGTTGGTGCTAAGAAGACACTGGAGGATGGAAAGACCAAGAATAAGGGTGTGGTTTAAGTGAAATAGGCCTGGCTTTCCTTGAAAGCAGGGTGTGGACCATAGAACCAGAAAGAGGCCCTGTGGAGAGGCAGAGGGGATGGGAGCACCAAATAGTCGGGTAGAGATCAGCTGTGGGGGGCTTTACATGCCAGGATAAAAGGTTGGATTTTGAGGGTCTGAGCAACCAGGACATTTCAATGAAGAAGGTATTGTGCATGAACAGGAAGGTTTTGGGCGAGCATGTAAGTGGTCTGAAATTAATGAAAGCTGAGCCCTGCATTAGGGTGGCAGGTGGCAGCAAATGCCAGTTGGTGGGAACTGGACTGATGTGAGCTATTTGAAAGGAAAAAGAGACAGACAGGGTATCAAGGAAAGAAGAGAATAATATACTAGCAGCTCTCATTTATAGAAAGGTTCCATGTGCTACACACCTTACTCCATTTTGTCCCATAGGACACCCCCACCAGCCTATGAGCTTTCTAGTATTGTATGTTGATAGTTTTTTGTTTTCATTTTTTGAGACAGGTCTCACTATGTAGCCAGGCTGGCCTTGAACTCACTGCAGTCCTCCTATCTCGGCTTTCCTGAGTGTTAGCATTACAAGCATGGGCCACCATGTGTGTTGCTAGTATTATATGCAAATACCAAGGCTCAGAGAAGCCAAGTAACTTACCCAAATCAACCGGGTGAGCTGCAAGTAGGGTATGGCAAAGCTGGAATTAGAAACGAGGCATTCTGGTCACCCATAGCCTGTGCTCAGCCACTCTTGCTCATCTGTGGGAGACCAGCCTCCAAGAATACATATGATGCTTTGAGGAAATGTGGGTGTAAGTCTCAGGGTTTGTGTCCCCTCCCCATACTGGGGATGGAAGCCTGGCTCTTGTGCATGCTAGGCAAGCCCTCTACAACTGAGTCACACCTCTAGATCCTAGGCAGAAGTTTTGGGAGAGGTTGGCATCATCATATATGTGAGACTACATCCAGGTACCCCTGATCCAGTAGAGCAGGATTCCAGTGGGTGATTTGGCAGGTGTACCCACAGAAGTCCTGGTGGAAATTCGGGTACACATTTGTATAACTTTGTTAGGAAACACGTTAAGGCCACCTATAGAGATTGTGATTTCACTAGGGTGGCACCCAGGTGAGGATTTAAAACTTGTCCCTGGGATAGGCATGGTGGTACATGTCGATAATCTTAGCACTATGGGAGGCTGAGGCAGGAAGATCACAAGTTCAACCTTGTCTCAAAATACAAAACAAAAAATGGCTGGGGATGCAGCTCAGTGCACCCTGAGTTCAATCCCCACTGCTTGAAAAACAAAACAAACAAAAAATCCTTCCCTGGTCAATTCTAATGTGCAGCCAGGGTTGAGAACACCAGGGCTGAATGAAGGTAGAGAGAAGGATGAAGGAGGTTATTTGAGGCCTGACCCAAGGTGGAGACAGGAAGGTGGGACAATGGCCAGGAAAGAGGCCATTTCAGGAAGAGGGAACAGCACCTGGGGCAGAGGGTGACAAGGTTCTTTATTAGGACTGTGCTGACCGCTTGACCTTTGACTCTGTGTTGTAGACATTGGCAGAAGGGGGACTGGGGTGTGGGGAACTGCAGTATTAAGAGGAACAGCAGGACAACAGATTGTTCTTTGAGGCCTTGGGCAGGGAAGCGAGTGGGTTAGGAAGGAAGGAAGTCCACGGAGTTGAGAGTAGGCTCCAGGGGCTCTAGCCATAGAAAGAAACGCCCACGGCTGCAGGAGTCGTCCTGCCCAGCTACTGGTTACGGCACTGGATGCCTCTTTCTCATTGGACAGAGAGGTGGCCTTGAAAGAAGCGGCTGAACCGTAAAACGGGTCCCAGGTCCTCAGGTCAGTTAGGAACTGCAGGTTGGAAGGGTGGCTGTAGCCTTCGCCCCAGCAAGCCCCCACCAACTAGGACAACCCCCTTTACCCCGCCCCCATACAGGTGGAGTTCTACTTCCTGTCCCAGTATGTGTCACCAGCTGACTCCCCATTCCGCCACATCTTCCTGGGCCATGGAGACCACACGCTTGGCGCCCTGCTGGATCATCTAAGGCTCCTGCGCCCTGAGGGCTCCAGGGTCTCCAAAGTACCCGGCCTGAGCTTCCAGGAAAGCCGTTTCCGGCGCCAGCTGGCCCTGCTCACCTGGACGCTGCAGGGTGCGGCCAATGCACTTAGCGGTGACGTCTGGAACATCGATAACAACTTCTGAGACCTGCAGGCTCTGGATCCAAACACCCCAGTCCCCCTGGTGACAGCTCTTCATCTCCCTGCTTGTGTAGTGCAGGGTGAAGGAGGTGACCCATGCACTTCTCCTGACCTCTGATCCCATTAGTCTTTGCGGTCTTTCCACCAGTCCGATACAGACATCCACACAACTTTGGCCTGCAGTGTAGGCGAGCAGTCCTTCATTAATGTGACAGCCATTCTGTCTGTGAATCAGAGAGCAGCATCCCTTTGGGCAATCACAGCCTCTTGTCTCTTGGAAAATGATCCCCAGTACCTAGAGCCCACAAGAAGCTGCGGTAGACCCTGGACCTGACCAGTTCCCTTAGTGGAAGAGGTGCCTGAGCACCACAGCCTTATTATGGCCAACAGGTGGTCTGTGGTGGGAGGGACACAGGGTTTGCATGTCAATAAACCACCCGGTGACATCTGTTGCTCATAAACACCTTCCTCCTCACCCCCATCCTCACCCTTCCTCCCTCCCTTGACATCTGGGAAGTGTTGGGCAGAAGGGATCAGAGGGGACACATACAGGATGCTGTCTCTCTGAAGAAACTTAGCTGGAAATTTCAGAGCCAGGCATGGTGCTGCTTGCCTGTAATTCCAGCACTCTGGGAGGCTGAGGCAGGGGAATTGCAAGCACAACACAGCTTAGGCAACTTAGCAATTTAGCAAGATCTCTCAGAAAAAATTTTTTAAAGGGCTAGGGATGTAACTCAGTGAAAAGTTTCAATTACCAATGCAAGAAAAAAAAAATCTTCCTAAGGAAATTGCCTAAGTATATAATGAAAGTTCATTTCCCAAAGACCACTGCAGTTATGAGTGGGGTCTGGGCTTTCGAACCAAGGACAGCTACATAATTTGCAAGCCCTGGTGGGGACTGAAAATTCAGGGTTTTTGTTTGTTTGTTTGTTTGTTTGTTTGTTTGTTTTTTCTGATACTAGGAATCAAACTATCAGTCTAGGCTACATAGTGAGTTCAAGGCCAGCCTGAACTACATAGCAAGACCCTATTCTTCCCCTGCCTCTCCCAGCTCAAAAAAAGCAGGTACAAGGCCAGGGATTTAGCTCAGTGGTTCTGGCACCTGCCTTGCAAGTGCAAAGCCCTGAGTTTGATACCTGGTACAAAAAAAAAAAAAAATGCAGGTACAAAACTTTACAGTCTAATTGTCAGGGTGTTCTGTTATTTTGTTATTTGCTACTTACTGTCACATTTCTGTAGGTTTAGGGATTCTCTAAGTATGTCCCTCCCAGGTATCTGGGGTTCTGCTCCACAATTTAGGAAGTTGACATGCACACAACCCTGACCTCCCTGGTCTTGTGTCCAGGTCCCTGTGGGCAAGAAAGGCAAGTTCATCCCTTGTGGGGGCAGCGGGGAGCTGGGAGCCTACATTGGGGAGAGCAGACAGGACATGCTCCATTGCCCCTGCAGACTTTACTTCCAAAACTTAAATTCAAAGATAAAGTTATTAGGGTTTTTCAGGTGGCAACTGAAAAGCATTAAAGCCCAAACACAGGGCCCCCTTCTGAGCACACACCCCTGTGAGTTTGCAATGGCCAAGTGCCATTAGGTTGGCCCTGCTTGGGAATTGGCTCCCTGGGATCCCCTTTGGCCATTTTTGCCCAGTGAGGATGGAGAAGTAGAAGTATGAGCACAGGAGGGCAGGGAATTATAAGTGCTGCTGGTCTATTCACTATGGCTTCAAGAGGTGTTGGCCCTGGTTCTGCTCCCTGGGAAGTGGCATAAATCCTAGGGCCCAGCCAGGCATGGTGGCACATACCTGTAATCCTAGAACACTGGGAAGCTGAGGTAGGAGGATCATACATTCAAGGCCAGCATAGGAAACTTAGAATGACCCTGTGTCAAAATTTTTAAAATAAAAAGGGTTGGGAATGTAGTTCAGTGTGAAGACCCTGGGTTCAATACCCAGAGCTACCAAAAAAATAATAATAAGAAGAAGAATAATAATGATAATAATAATAATAAAGAAATCCTGGGGCCCATCTCCTTGGTCCTCTCTTATCTCCAGAGTGGCAGGAGAGGTCTCAGTCCTCTGGTCACTGGGAAGCAAAGGCCTCTTAGCCTAGGCTGCAGATGTTCCAACCTCTTGTTTTCAGGATGAAATGTGCCCTCTTTTTAAACTCCCAAACTCTTTTTAAACCCTGATTTGGTGGGTTCACAAGACCCTGAACCTCAGTGGGTTCAGAAATTTACTCAAATGCTTGCTTGCCTGACATACACTCCAGAGCAAATTTCCTAAAGTGGCTTCACAGGCCTCCTTCCCCTCTTCCATCTGCTTCCTGTAGTACACAGAGTAATGGTCTCAACAAATGTCCACATCCTGCCCCTGAATGTTATTTACTGTGGCAGAATGGACTTTGCAGATGAGATTAAGTTAAGGATCTTACAGAGAAAAGTGTTAGCTGGGCATGCTAGGCAGAAGGATGATAAATTCACTCCCAGCCTGGGTAACTTAGTGACTTAGGGAGACTTTATTTCAAAATATGAAATAAAAAAGGACTAGGGCAGGGCGTGGTGGTGCACGCCTGTAATCCCAGCACTCGGGAGGCTGAGGCAGGAGGATTGCTGTGAGTTTGAGACCAGCCTGGACTACATAGTGAGTTCCAGGACAGTCTCAACTACATAGTGAGACCCTGTTTCAAAAAAACAAAAAGGACTAGGATGTCTGGGTATTTAGGTCAGTGGTTCCACCACCTGCCTGGCAAATATAAGTTCCCAAGTTTGATCCCCAGTTCCAAAAAAGAAAAAGAAAAAAAAAGGACTAGGGATGGAAAGGCCCTGGGTTCAACACTAGTACCATAAAAAAGATGGGGGGGGCAGGGATTTAGTTCGGTGGCATCATCACCTGCCTTAAAAGTGCAAGGTCCAAGGGCCGGGGATTTAACTCAGTGGTTCGGTGGCCTGCCTCGCAAGTGCAAGGACCCAAGTTGGATCCCCGGTACCAAGAAAAAAAAAAAAAAAAAAAAAAAAAAAAACGAAACAAAAGTGCAAGGTCTTGAGTTCAATCCCCAGTACTGGCAAAAAAGAAAGAAAAAAGAAAAGATGGGGAGTGTTACAGACAGAACTGCATGTCTTCCTCTCCCAATTCCTAGGCCAGGGCAGAACTTTCAGTATCTGTATTAGGATAGAGAGCCTTTAAAGAAGTGATGAAGTTAAAACAAAGCTCTGATATTAAAGTGGGGTCTGATCTAATCTGACTGGTGTCCCCATAAGAAGAAGAAGAAGTTTGGACGCACAAGTGACACCAGGGATGTGTGCACACAGAGGAAAGACTATGTGAGGATGTAACAAGAAGGCAGCCATCTGCAAATCAAGGACTGAGGCCACAGAGAAAGCCAACCTCGCTGACACTTTGATCTTGGGCTTCTGGCCTCTGGAACTGTGAGAAAATAAATCCCTATTGTTTGGTGTTTTCGGGGTTGTTTTGTTTTGTTTGCAGTGCTGGACATGGAACCCATGGCCCAGCACAGAAGTGCTCTAGCACTGAGCCATATCCCTAACCCTTGGCCTGTGATATTCTGTTCAGGCAGATCTAGCACACTAATACAGGGGAGTATCCCAGGTTGGGGCTGGTGTGTGATTATAAGTGCCCTCATAAAAGAAGACAGTAAGGTCAGTGACAGAGACATGACAGTGCAAGCAGGGGTCAGAGTAAGAAAGATTTGAAAATGCTCCCCTCCTGGTGGTATGGTTTATATCTAAATGTCTCCCCCAAAGCCTCGTATGCTCATAGTGCACTGGGGAGGTGATTGGATCATGGATGTGTGATACTTGTCCCTGCATTAGTCCACAGATGGGTTTGTAGCAGGGCTTGATGTCGGGAGGTGACTTCTGCTGGGAAGAGGTGGGTCACTGGGTGTGGTCTGATGTATAGATAACCCTTTTCTCCCTTGATGGTTGCTGCTTCCTGGCTGCCAGGGCTCATTGAGCTTTGTCCTCTGTGACATCCTCTGCCATACTACCCTGCCTTGGAGCCAGCTAAGGACTGAAACCTCCACAAACTCAGCGAAAATAAACCTCTTCTCCTTTAACTTGTGGGTATTTTGTCTCAGGAATGGAAAGTACCTAAGATTGCTTTAGGATGGAGGAAGAGGGCCGGGGATTTAGCTCAGTGGTTCCATTGTCTGCCTCACAAGCGTAAGGACCAGAGTTCGATCTCTGGTACAAAAAAAAAAAAAAAAAAAAAAAAAAAAAAAAAAGATGAAGGAAGAAGCTATGGATGTCACTCAGTGGTAGAGCCTGACATTCTGAATTGCATTCCCAGGGCCAGGGGTGAGGAGGAAGAAAAGGCCACAAGCTAGGGACACAAATGACCTCTACAAGCTGGAAAAGTAAAAAAAAAAAGACTCTCCCCTGTTGCTTTCCACACCCCTGTAGACACCTTGATCTTAGCTTCACAGCATCCTTCTTTTTGGATTTCAGACCCCCTAGAACTGTGAGAATTTGTGGTTTGGTTTGTTTTTGGTGCAGGGCATTGAACTTCACTGTCTCCCTGAGCTACACCTCCATTCCACTTTGTGTTGTTTCAAGCCACTAAATTTTTCATAATTTATTACAATAGTTATAGTAAACAGACTTTCCTGCTCCCATTACTGCAAGCTCAGTCTCAAACTCACAGTGATCCTCCTGCCTCAGCTTCCCAAGTGCTGGGATTACAGGCATGCACCACCATGCCCGGCTTCAGTGCTCTTTTCTTTTTCTTTCTTTTTGGTGGTACTGGGGATTGAACTCAGGACCTTGTGCTTACAAGGCAGGCACAGTGCCACTGAGCTACATCCCTGGCCCTTCAGTGCTGTTTTCTAAAAAAACTTGCTTAAAAGACAGCATGTAGCTAGGTGTGATGGTGCATACCTGTAATCCCAGCACTTGGGAGGCTGAGACAGGAAGATTGCTGCAAGTTCAAGGCCTGCCTGGGTAACACAGTGAATTCAAGGTCAGCCTGAAGTACATAGTGAGACCCTGTCTCAAAAAACAAGACAGAACGAAACAAAGAAATCAAAAGATAGCATATATCCTAAGTCCCTCCGGCCCCTATACCACCCCTTCAACAGTTGTGTCTGTGGATGCCTTCATGGTACCTCAATTGTATTTTGGGAGCTGGGTGCACACCTGTAATCCTAGCACTCTGGGAGGCTGAAACAGGAATAAGTTCAAGTTCAGCCCGGGCAATTTAGTGACCTAGTGGTTGAACATCTGCACGTGTAATCTGGTGAGGGGTTTGCTGGGCATGGCAAGAGCTTTCCCCAGACACCTGGGTACAGACTGTGAACCCATCTCCTGCACACTGTGGGGCCACAGCACAGTTGGGGGTGGGAGGGACAAGACTCCCAGGGCAGCAGGGAAGGTCCTAAGACCCAGGGCAAAGCTGAAACAACGGATTAACCGTCCAGTGGAGTAACAGACTGGGTCTGTCTAATATCATCTTGCTGATTCTTCGTCCCCAACAAATAATCTGCCCAGTGTCACTGGCTTGCTGTCTCTTCTTTCCTCTGCCTTTTGAGGATCCTGGTCATTTCCTGTACCTTAGTCTCTCCCATCCGGTTTGGATGAGGTTACATCAGGCAATGCTACTTCCTTCCACCCTGGAAAGGATCTTGGTGTTTCTGATCCACAGGAGGTGAAATCTCAAAGGAATGAGGAAATGGAAACTGATAAAAGGGCACAAGGATTCTGGGGATTGTAAGCATGCGGGCTACCCTGGCAAGAGGCCCTGCTGGTTCCACTGGGATTAGGTGAGATTTTTGTTTGCCTCTTTTTAGTTAGGCATGTTGGCTAAGAACAGGAGCCTATTGTAGGGCCAAAAGGAATTTCTCTTCACTAGTGTTAGGGATGGTACCCAGGGCCTCACACATGCTAGACAAGTGCTCCATCTGAGAGCCAACCCCTAAAAGGGGATCCCAAAAGGGGATCTTACAAATCAACTTGGCTAGAGTGTACTTTAGTGGTAGTGTACACACTTAGCATCTTCAATGCCCTTGTGTTGCTCCTCAGTAACACACACACACACACACACACACACACAAACTTGCTCAGTGCTCTTATTTTAGAGACCAAAATGCTTGAGAAACTACATACAACTTGCTCAAGGTCACAAATTCTTTTGGATGCAGCATTAGGACTAACCCAGATCTTCTAAATACCATGTTAAACCCTTCCACTGCCCAAGTGTGTGGGTCCCCAGAAAATGACAGCAGTTGGAACCAAAGTCTATCTAGGTACTGAGTAAGAAGTGAGAAGCTAGGATCAAGAACCCTACAGTTCTCATTTTAATTTTAAAATTTTGTTTTATTAAAATTGGAAAATGAATACAAATCTCTGGGTATTTGATGGATGGAATGTTAAGGGTTGGGCAGGAAGGAGAAAACAGTTGAGGCAAGGAATTAGCATCACAGTGGCTGCCTCAGGTCCCAGCCTAGGAGGAGAAGGTGGCATGGGGTTGAGTGGGGCGCTCAGGTCCGGAGGAACACCATGGTGAGGAGGCCTGGAGGTGGAGAAGGAAACAGCAAGTCAGCCTGAGTAGCCCTCCTGGCTGCTTTCTCTGGGCGTGGGCCTGGATCCCCAACCACTACTTTGCTCACCTAAGACATAAGCTGCCACCAACTTTTGTCCCAGGGAAACATGCAGGACCTGAGGCAGCTGGCTGCCGAGTTCATCCTGGAGCGGGAGCAGCAGGAAGGCCACAGAGACAATGCCGGTCAGCAAGAAGAGGACGAAGGAGCTGATGGCCAGCTGTTGACGGGGATCTGGAAACAAGGCTCCTTAGCAGCAGCATCCCCTCTTGTCCAGCCAAGGTCCTCCAGGGAGGAGGTTGACATGGCAGCTGTCTCTACATTTTATCACCCAGCAAGGGCCACACTGTGAGTATCCTCTCTCCCCTGAAGCCTCTGTCCCCATAGCCACAGAAACCCTCTGTCTTCTGGTCCCTCTCCAAACTCTGACTTCATTAATGTCTTCTGTGCACTCATACAGCAGGCCTCTCTGTGTCTCCCATCCCCACCCCAGCACACAACCCAGTACAGCGTAATTGAGCATAACTGCTCAGTATAACCTTTGCCTCTCTTTCCTTTCCCCTCTCCTCTTTCCCCTTCCCCCATCCCCTTTCCTCCTCTCTCTCTCTCTCTCTTTGGGTGGCACCAAGGATTGAAAGCAGGGTCTTCCCACTAAGCTAAATTCTGTCCTTTGTAATTTTTTTTTTTACTTGAGACAGGGTCTCATTAAATTGCCCAGCTGGGCTCAAACTTGTGATTCTCCTGCCTCAGCCTCCCAGCGTGCAGGTGTGCACCACCACACCCAGCTGTTAGTATAAGATACTGACTGAACTGAGCTGAGCTGACATCTGATAGGAAGTACTTCAGTTAGAGCTAAGCGGGTAGAAGCCAGAAACCAGAGAAATGGTAGTCTTTTTTCCTTACCTGAAACAAAACTTAAACTTGGAATGTTCACCAAAAGGCAAAAGGGTGAACCAGGAGACTTTTCAAACTCACTTTATCTCATCTCTAGGGTAATGCTAGTTTCTCCCTCTGTACGGAACTCCAGAATCCCCATTGCCTCACTTACTCTCTTGGAAGTGTCTGGCCGGGGGTGGTGTTGTCCAGGCTGGAGGCCCTGGCTGGGATGTTGGCACAGGCTGTCCCTGAAGCTCCAGGGGGTATGCTGGGCCCCGCAGAACTGAGGTGAGGTCCTTGCGCCCCACCACTCGGCCCTCAGCCCCCTCCTGGGACAGCTCAATTCGGAAGCGGTCCTGGACATCATAGTGACTGGGAATGGGGGCCACGTGGCGAATCACACTGGCTCCAAGATAAGAAAAGAAAGGCTCATTGGAAGCAAGTGAGGTCACTCCCCCAGAAAGGGTTCCCTAACAGATGCTGACAGAAGAGTGGGAAAGCACCTTAAAGAGGACAAGGTCTCAGACCTAAGATACCAGGTGCTAGTGACCCCTGGCTTCCCTCAGCATCCCCATCCTCCAACTCACATGTCAATGCAGGACTGAGGTTTTACATATCCTTCTGCGTCAAACACCGTGTATTTGGCAGGTGCTGTGCACAGAACTGTGGACAAAAAAGATTCTAGACATCTTGCCCATGGTGGGACACTACAGTTCCCTATCTCCAACCCTTCAACACCAGGGCTGAACATTCTTTTGGGCGCCAAGATTTGGCATCTGGTCCTACTCATCTGAATCCTCCAGCCCATACGGCCCCCCAGTGTTCTGCTGCCAGCCCCCAAATCCCAACAGGCACCCATCCTTTCACCTCGGAAGCGAAGCGCAGTTCCCGTGGGGTTATAGAGGGTTAGCAGCTGTCGGGGTCCGCTCCTTTGGTCCGCCCTGAATACTAGATCCGGGGGAAAGACGAGTACCGGGACGACGGATCCCAAGGGAGGAGGGGCGCCCCGGGACCCCGGCCCAGGAGCCCCCGGCCCCACCAGCTCCAGGTCCTGGGGCGCCCCACGGCGCATGCAGGCTCTGGGCGGTCGGACATCCGAGGGGAGAGCTCGGGGGACAAGGCTTGGAGATTAGAGCTAGGGGAGTAGGGGCGAAAGTGGACAAGATGAGATCGTGTAGGGCTTGGTCTGGTGCTGCCGCCGCGTCGAAACCCCGCGAGAAGCAGCTCGCTTAGACTCAGGCCTCCCAACCCTTTCCCTTTCCAATTTTGCCCAGATCCCCGCAGACCCCACCCACAAACTACACCTCGGCGGCCACGCCCTTCTCGTTAAACCCTGACCCTGGAGGTTCCCAGTCCGGGGTTTCTCAATCCTGGGTCTTGATCTCCTTAAGTGCCTCCCCGCTCAAGGTCCCGCCTTTTCCGGGAGTTCCTGTATGCCCGCCCCATCTTTCGGGCCAGAGTCCGCCCTCTGCAGCGGCCTCCTTTGGAGCAACCCTTCATGTCTCCTGCTCTGCTGTCCCTCCCTGACCTCGGCCCGTGCCTTGTCGCGGTTCCGTCTCCGAAGGGCTGCTCGTACTATGGTAATCACCTTGTGGTCAAAGTACCTTCCAGTCAACCTGAGGCCAGACTAATGCCGCCATCTTCCCGAGAGTCCCTTTCTGTACTTCCGCCGTACGGCCTCTCCCATTGGTCAGAGTGCTCTCGTTTCCGCCTAAATTTACTCGATCGGTCTCTTAAAGATCCAACTTAAATCTCTCTCCTAGCACCGATGATTGGCTTGATCTCAGTGATGTAAGAAGCGTATGGGCGTCTCAGGTTTAAATTCAAGCCGCGAAGTACCTGGGAGAGGCGGGGCTGAGTTGTGAGTCTGGGTTTTGTTCCTTCGTCCCTACTCTTGAGAACTCCCCAAATTACTAGTTTTCAGCCTTGGGCTCATGTCCTATTTCTCTCTTTTCTGGACGGCCCCGGGAATCATTCACGTATCCATAGGGAATTTGACTCACCCAGCCCTGCTGCTTACGTCGTCCCATTGAATCTTCATCTCTTTTTTTTACAAAGGAGGAAAGTCTCTAAGGCGAAGGATTTCACCTTAGGCCGTACAATTACTAATCATTGTAGCAAAAACTAAGTTGATCTGCTGAGGAAAAGTTTCCTGAGCACCTTACGTAGAATCCTCGTTGTCCTCTTAATCATGCTTTTGCTTTCCTTGTAGAATTTATGGTGCTACTTGACATTATACTTTCTCTCTTCTCAGAATATTCTCTGTACAAGAACATTTTGTTTTGTGGTGATGATGGTGATTTTGTGGTACTGGGAGTTTTACTGTATATTAAAAGCTTGAGCCGGGCGTGGTGGCGTACGCCTGTAATCCCAGCACTCGGAGGCTGAGGCAGGAGGATCACTGTGAGTTCGGGACCAACCTGGGCTACATAGTGAGTTCCAGGTCAGTCTCAACTACGTCTTTTTGAGACCCTGTCTCAAAAAACAAAACATAATAAATAAAAGCTTGATGAATGAATAAATGAAATCCCCAGGATAGGCCCCTTCCATTAAGTCATCCATTTCTAAGTCATAGAAATGGAAATAAAACCCCTTCCTCAGATAAGAAACATTTATTTGCATAAGAAAGGGGGCCCAAGGATATGGAGCTGCACTGGGTCTCAGGCCTGGGCCTCTACAGCCCGCACAGGTTGGGAGAGGCATTTCCGGTTGCTTAGGTTGGTGAGAATCTGGTCCTGGTTGGGCCGGTAGGCAACCACAAAACTCTCTGGAGGAAGGATGGGACCTCGATTCTCATCCATCTGGCCCATCATCAGATAATTGATTCCTGGGGGAAGGGAGAAAGACGGTGAGTTGAGAGACTGAAAGCTCACATTACTGAGACTTTACCAAAACCTTCTGGGGGATGGTGTTGGAGAATGAACCCGGGGCCTTCACACTGAGCTACATCTCTCGGCCCTTTCTATTTTTATTTTGAGACAAGGTCTCAGCCATTATGTTGCCCAGGCTGGAGTCTGACTTGGAATTTTCATGTCTCAGCCTCCCAGAGTGCTGGGATTACAGGTGTGCAGCACTTTACCAATGCATTTTCTCACTGATTTTATACCTCTGTTATTTTAGTGTCACTAAGTGCCCCCTCCCGATTTAACTTTTCTGTTACCTTTCTTCATGGGCGGGTACTGCCTGCAGGGAACGTAAAATTTCAGGGATGTGCCAGTGGGTGGAGAGGGCAGGTCCAGTCCTCCAGTTTTGTAAACACCAATGAGACTGACAGTGACAGTGAGGCCCTCGCCTGGCCCCCGGATCATGGACTTCACTGTCGCTGTCACTACTGTGGGAGAATGGGGGTGAGAGATGAGGAGACAGAAAGCCAAGGGAGGACCAGCACCAAACAGACAGATAAAGGAGCTGCAAGGGCAGGGTATGGGGAGGAACTTCTTACCCAGATCACTAGCACAGAAGTTGCTCTGCAAGGTTCCTGTTCTCCTGTACTGCTTTGGGCAGGTGACAGTGGGGGCATCTAGGAGGGAGGGGGGCTGTTTGTGGAGAGGACCTACCCAGCAGGTAGGAAGGACCACTTTCTCCATAACTCCTTCAGGGTGTTATCCCCAGCTTGGTTCCTAGCACCCAGTACCAGCAAGTACAGAATGAATGAATGGGTGAGTGGATGAGCCATGAAAACCTAAAACAACTGCTTTCTTCCCCTGCCCAGACTCACTGGGGCTCACTGGAATTCCCTGGGCCTTGGGCAAAACTTCTGGCTTCTCTGCAGGTTGGACTTTGGGCTTGGTGGGTAGCTTGTCTTTGGGTCTGACTTCTGGCTTAGAGTTGGGGCCGAGAGTGGGGGTGCCTGGCTGGGCATTCTCTCCTGGGCTCGAGGCTGGCCCTTTGTCAGCAGCGTCCCGCTGCAGGGTCTTGTAGGAGGCGGAAAAGCCATCTGCGGTGACGCTGAGATCCGAGACGAACTGGACCAGAAGCTCGTTGCCCTCCGAGGAAATGGGGCTGTGGGCATCACGGAAGGTGTTAGGGTGGCCGCACACCTGCCACCTACCCAGCGCTTGGCTATTTGACTTCTTCCCCTCAGTCGCTTGGCTTCTCCACCTCGGAGCCCCGCCCACCTCGCCTCTAGCTTCCGGATCTGCAGACCCAGACTAGGCCCGAAGCCTACCGGTTCCCTACTTGTTCCACCCACCCCCATTTGGAGTCCCAGGGCTCAAACCCCGCCCCTCAGCTACCCCGGGCCCCTCAAAGCCCTGGGTGACGCCCAGATTCTCTCCGCAGCCCACCCCATCCAGCCCCTCACCTGGGGGCGGTGTCACCGCAGAACTTCCCCAGTCTCTTGGAGTCATCGCTTATTGCTCCATTGAACACGCTGACCGAGTCGTAGCGGCAGTAGGTGTCGGGCTCCAGGTCGAACTTCCCGAAAGTCAGCAGGATCACCTGGCGGCGGCCGAGGCGGAGGCTGCTCGGCGGAACCTGCACCCTACACTTCTCGCCTCCCCCACCTCCCGCACCCCCACCCCATCCCCTCATTGCCGATCACAGGGTCCTGTACCCCAGGGACCCGGCAGGGGCGTCTATTGCCCCTCTGGCCAGGTCAAGTCCTGGCTCACTCTCCAGGGACAACCCCCACATCCCCGCCCCGCAGCACCGCACAGTTTAGGAGGACCGTGTACCTTGCTCTTTTAAGACTCCACAGTTGTGATTTTACAGTTTTAGTTTGCGTGCAAGCAGGGTCTGAGTCTATTTTTGGTCCACACAAGCTCTGGGCTTGGGACACAGAAGATGCTCAATAAATCCTTGCTGGCTATGTGCAGGGAGGTCGTCTGGGTCCCCGCGGGCAGTCGAGGCAAGGGGTTGGTACCTGATCCGGGGGCGCGATGATGTGCCAGTTACAGTTGATGCCCGGGGGGTAGTCGGACTCGGGCCAGTTGGGCGTGGTGAGGGTTCCCTGCGCCTTCTCCAGCCGCCCCCCACAAAACTGGTGCTCTGGGGAGGGGAGAGAGGGCGAGGGGTGGGGGCGGTGGAGACCCTCAGTAAGTTGGAGGAGAGTTTTAGCTGGGAGGCGGGCAGGCAGCTCGGCTGTCTGTATCTCAGGATGAGGGGACGAGGCGTAGGCAGGAGAGAGGGGAAGGTTAGCAGAGAGGAGAGGATGGGACTCAGGGCTGCAGCCTGGGGCCGCCGAAGGGAAGGAGAGCTGGCTGGATGCGCCCCCTTTTCGCCCCTCCCGACCCAAGCCTCTTCCCCTGGGAGATCCCATCTCCCCAGCCTGGCAGAAGATTTCCCTTTGTGAGGGTGCCCTCGATTTGGCTCCTTCCGGGAAGTTCCCGGCTGAAACATTTCCAGGGAGATTTCTGCCACCAGGAGAGGGTGATGGGACCGCAATCGGGAGCCCAGGGCTGGGTGCAGGGGGCTCCAGGTAAGGGAACCTAGTCCCCCAGCCCTGGGGTGCCCCCTCGCGCCCGTCGGAGGGAGCCCGATTGCGGATGGGGGCGGGCAGTTACTCACCGTCCCAGTAACCCCAGGCCGCCCATTCCACCCGTGGGTCCATGACCCATTTCCGCCTCGCGCCTGGGGGGGGGCCTGGAAGAGGGTGGGTGGGAGCAGGAGGGGAGAGAAGACGGGGAGGAGGGACTGAAGGGGCGGTTAGTGAGGAGAAAGGGTGAGGGAGTATTGGTGGCCCTAGGCTCTTGGGATTGGGTTGTCTGGGGTTGAGGTTAGGGCTGGGGGTCTGGGGCCTGAGCAGGGACAGGACAAGGAAAGGGGAAGATGGAGGTGAGGGAGGCTCACCATTGCCTGAAGTGACCCGCCCGCTGTACCAGAGCAGGAAGCCTCTTCCTCCTGTGCCCTCATCTGCTGTCATCCTCAGCGTAACCTGATTGCCAGGGGCGACCAGGGGTGCTGGCCGGAAGGTCCCACAGAAGCGTCCCAGCCGCTTGCCCGAGGTTCCAGATCCAGCAAAGACTTCTAGAGCATCGTAACGACAGGCAGGGTGCAGCTCCATGTCAAAGACTCGGAAGGAGAGGGACACGGTCTGGCCCTCAGGGACCTGATATCAGGGACAGCAGGCATGAGACCCACAGTGTCAGGCTGCACAAAACCCTGGCAGAAGTCTTCTCCCCTTCCCTGGGTATTTCCTACAGCAATGGCTGGGGCTGGAAAGGACCTGTGGCTGCAGAGCAGAGGCCCTGGGCTCTGCAGCAGTGGTCTCTGGAGAGATAAGAGGACAGGAAGGAAGTTGGGGGTGGAGAATCAAGATTTGAGTTATGGGTTAAGAATTAAGCCAGAGGGCACTGGTTATGATGGGGATTGACCCACTTAGTGACCAAGAGCAAGGGCTCAGAAGATGGTGCCAGGTGGGGGCACCCATTAGTGTCTGAATTTTGCTTGGGAGATGTTGATAAGAGAACAGTGACTGGGGAGGTCTTCTCACCGTGATGGTCCAGATGCACTCCTTATTGGGGGGGTAGAGGTTGGGGAAACCCTCACTTGCCACGTAACCTGACTCTCCCGTCACATCCCCTCCACACAGGAACACAGGTCTGGAGAACAGAAGGGGTTGGTCAGCGGTGGGGAGTAACAGAGGGATAGGGATGGGGTAACCAGGGTGGGAGGCCAGGGCCATGAGGGAGAAGACCAAAGGGATCCAGGAGAACCTCAGCTGGCCTGGCTGGGATTGGAGTAGGGTGAGGGAAATGTGGGACCAACAACGACTGTGCCTCCCACCCCAGAGCCTACCCCACCCCCACAGGAATTCCGGGAATCCTCCTGGGGGGCCCCCCTTGCTTGCTCTCCTCCCTCACACTGCCTGGCAGTCTGGAACAGGAGCTGCCTAACTACTTCCAGATGTGGTCAGCCACGAGGCCAGGCGGTGGGGGGGGGGTGGAGACAAGGGAAGCGGCGCAGATGGCCCTCCAATCCGGCCCAGACACCAGTCTCCGTGCACCCCCCACCTTTGCCCTGCTCCTGTTCCAGTTAACTCTGAGTCTCCAACTCCCAGGGCTCCTATAGTTGCCCCCCCCCGCCCCGCTTCCTTTCTGGAAGCCAGATGTCAGCTACCAGGCAAGTTCAGGGTCTTGGCTCTCCTTTCAAGCTCCATGGGGGGCCATAGGTCTGGGTGGAGGGGGAGACTTAGGAGGGCAGAAGATGAAGGTTAAAAGAGTGGGAGCAGTGGTGACCTGCAGGAGATTGTGGTCTTACAGCAGAGGGGAGGACCTGGGTGCCAGAGAAGGTGGGGTGGGAGATCTGTGGGGACTGGGTGTTAGCACAGTCCACAAGACCCACAGTCATAACCCCCAAGAGCCAGCATTTGGAAGATCACTTGGGCCATCTGGAGATGCCGAGACCTACCTGGTGTAGTTGGGGTTCTGGCCCTGGGCAAGAGGCAGCAGTGCCCAGGCTGTGAGGAGGGGCCCCAGGAGGGAGGCTGAGGCAGCGGGCAGCATGTCGGGGGGACTGTGCTGGGGTCCTCGGCCCAGAGGCAGCAGCTAAGTTCAGCAGCAGCAGCAGCAGTGGCGGCGGGATAATCAGTGCCAGATGAGACAGCCTGGGGCGTGTGGGCGTGGGGACTAGCCTATGGGGCGGGCGGCAGGAAGGCGGGACAGGGAGACAGCTTGTGACCATGGTGAGTCCAGGGGCCTCTCTAGGTCTAGGACTCACAATATTGACCTAAGGAGGGGTGGAGCAATGAGGGGCAGGGGGAGCATCCTCCAGCCCTCAGATACTGTTTTCGGAAACTCCACTTTGTTCTGTGCCTGCGCAACCTGTGCACAGAGCTCTGGTCCTTCCTGGGGACTCAGCTCTCTCCATCCCCTGCTTCCTCAGCACGAAGAAGATGCCTTCCTGAGACCCCTACCCATTCACCTCTTGGCTACCCCCTGCCCCAGCTACTCATTTCTACTGCCTCTCCCCTATGCCTGGGGGAAAGATTTTTTTTCCACCATTGGGAATTGAACCCAGGGCCTTTGCACTGAGCTACATCCCCAGCTCTTCTTAAATTTTTTATTTTGAGACAAGGTCTCACTAAATTGCCCAGCCTGAGCTCAAACTTTTGATGATCCTGCCTCAGCCTGTCAGAGCTCTGAGATTACAGGTGTGGGCCCACCACAACAGAGAGGAAGAATTCTATTCATCTATTTTTTCTTCCAAATATCTGAAGGTACAAGAAAAGGGCAGGGAGGATTGGAGTATCCCTCTACTGAGGACAAGGGGAAAGGAACAGAAAGTAAGGGAAAGGACCCAGAAGCCCAGGCCTGCAAGGTATATAGGAGGAAGAGAGGAGGGTGTGGAGTGCATTGGAATGAGGGGGATGAAGTAGAGACTGGAAACGGAGGACTGATAGTGGTCCTAAACTTGGGAACTCTGTATACATGGTGAGGTTTTTGTTTGTTAGTTTGTTTTTGGTCCTGGGGATCAAACCTGGGACCTTGAGCTTGTGAGGCAGGTAGCAGAACCACTGAACTAAATCCCTCGACCAATGGTGAGTTGTTGTCAGAGGTAGGGCCAGGACTTTCAAGTTCAAGAAGACTGGGTGAGGTTTTGGGAGTGGGAAAGGAAAGGTAAACTGGAGGACTCAGGTGCCAACAGCTCCCAGCAATGCAGAGTTTGATTGCTCCTGCTCTGTGTCATCACCCACTGCCCAGGTGCTGGGCTCCCCACCTCCTATCCTATGTCCCACGCTAGGCTCCATGGTTCCAAACTGGGCCTCACTTCAACCTTTTATTCTGTTTGTCCATCAAATCTCTTGTCCATGATATCAGGTTGGGGGCTCCACCTGGGCAGCCCCCTGAATATTTTACAAAAGTGTTCATTCCTTGATTTTCCCTGCCAGGTCTGGCTGTCCCCATCCCCCTGTGACTCCCTCCTTGTGTGCATATACAGAGTTCATTGCCACCACTCATTTCTCTGTACCCCCTGGCCCAAGGCCACTGTCCCTCCAGGGGTGAGGACCAGAGAGGGGTCAACTCTCAGGGGTTGAGGGACCTGGGGTAAACCCCAGTGATGTCTTCTGCAGTATGTTCAGAGCCTTCCAGAAGAAATCCCTCTGTGCGGCCATCAAGGGCATCCAGCCCACGATCTCCTTCATCTTCTCCAGGCAGTCCTGGAGTGTGGGGCAACTGTGGATCTGGCTGAGGTACTCCTCATAGGCCCAGGCTGCCCCCGCAGGGTCCTGGAGGCCTCTGGACCTCAGGCTGGGCTCCAGGCTGTCCATCCCCCAGGCAGCTGGCAGGTCCTGATAGATGGAGCATTGCTCGATGTCGTGGCTGGACAGCATGTAGAGGCACTCTCTAGTGGAGCAGAGGGAGCAGGCACACGGAGGGACCTTGGAAGAGAGAAGGGGTGTGCGCTTGCACTGCAGGGGCTCCCAGGAAGCTGACTAATCTGGCTGGTGTGTTTCCGTTCTCAGAACAGCCCTGAGCCAGCAAGTGAGCTGTAGCTGGCTCTGTACAGGGCCTGTGCAGGGTCACACAAGGCCAGCAGGGTCTGCTAAGGGACAGATCTATATATGTGCACGTGGCAGGAAAAGGAGGTGGCGTGGTGCAGGAGAATGGGCCTGCTGGGTCCTTGCAGGAGACCTGGCTACAGTCCTTTGGGCTACCTGGCTCTACTGAACCCCCAGCCCCCACCCCAGGGGGGTCCCACCCACCTGCCCCTGCTCTGACCTTGACGTGGAGCTTGACAAAGGAGGCGCTCCCCTTAGGCCAGCCAGGGAGGCGGCCACCGGCCCCACAACCACAGCCTAGCAGCTCCTTGCTGAAGTCTGCATCCTGGCTCAGCACCAGGGAATGGTTGAGGCCACACCAGAGGGCAATGGGGCGTTTCAGATAAGGTACCTGAGGACACAGGGCCAGGGTTGAGAGGGGAACACTAGGGGGCTGGGGGCCCACAGGAGAAGGCTGACTGGAAGGCTCAGTCACCTAGGAAGGGAAGCCAGGGGAGCCTACACCCTCCCCTCCCCCACCAAAGGCAGAGCGGCACCAGTCTCCGTAGCCCTGCACCCCCAACAGTATGACACTTGGCATCTCTGTGGGTACCTCGTCTTTGCTCCCCAGAAAATAAAACTCTTGACTCAGACCTAGGCCTGCTGTCTGTTCCCTTGTTCTCAGCCCACACTCTGTGCCACCAACCTTCAGCCTCACTCAGGGGCTCAGCCTTAAGCCTCCTCTCCTTCCCTGCACAACTCCTCATTATGCCTACGCACCCCCTCAAGGAAAGACTTTCTTGCCATTCTCTCTCTAGCATTTTCAGTGTATCCCACTGATATCTTAAAAAATGACCACCTTATTTTGAAAAAAGTGTCTGATTCCTATTGCTTCCTATCTCTCTATTTTAAGACAGGGTCTCACTATGTAGTTCAGGCTGGCCTCAAACAGTGATCCTCCTGCGTCACCCTCAAGTCTTGGCATTACAGGTGTCTAACCCCTACCTCTCTCTTTGCGGTAGCAGAATTGGCTACCTGGCCAGTCTGAGGCTGACCATATTCTTGTTCCTTACCAGTCTTTACTAAACCTCCTTATAATTTGGCTTCTCTCCCTAACATGCTCTGTTTTACTCTCTCCAAAAGGTACTTAGTTTCTCAGCTGTTAAAAAAGCAGCACCTCTTCTATATGCTCATTCTGAGCCTGTTAACATTTTAATTTCAAAGGCACAGGTAAGCAATCTATAGTCCTTAAAAGAAAATTACAAGGCTGGGCATGGTGGTGCACACCTGTAATCCTAGAACTTGGGAGGCTGAGACAGGAGGATTGCTGTGAGTTCAGGGCCAGCCTAGCCTACATAGTGAGTTCAAGTACATAGTGAGACCCTGCCTCCCCACAAAAATTACACAATACTGACAAGTAAACATTTAAAAAATCAACTGGAAATCCCACCACGAACAATTAACATCTTTCTGGGTATTCTTCATTGATGCCTAAACAAATACGCATAGATTGTCTATTTTTATTATTTATTTATTTATTGGGTACCAGGGATTGAACTCAGGACCTTGTACGTGCCACTGAGCTAAATCCCCAGCCCAGCTGTATATTTTAAAACAAAAATGAGATTATAAAGCCGGCTGTGGTAGTGCACACCTGTGATCCCAGTACTTGGGAGGCTGAAGTGGGGATATCACTGCAAACTGGAGGCCAGACTTGGCTACAGAGTGAATTCAAGGCCAGCCTGAACTACAGAGCAAAACCCTGTCTCCAAAAACAAACATACAAACAAAGCAAAACAAAAAACGAAATTGTACTGTGTAACCCATTTCGCAAAGGCTTTTTTCACCTACATATACAGAGTAATCATCTTTCCGTGTCAGTAAACGTGTTCCTGTGTTATCACAGTGTCGTCAGGCAGCCCCCTCTCCCACTTGCCCTGTTGAAACTTTCTGGAATGTGGCAATGGAGGGCTGAGCCTCCTGCCCCAGAGCCTTGATTCTTCATCCCCGCCTCCGGTGGTGGCTGCAGCCCGATTTGCTCCTCTGTCTCTGCTTTTGTCATTTAAACCTTGTTCCAACTTGGAATGCCAGCTAGACAGTTCCAATTCAGGGTTTAACTCTCCCTGCAACAAGTCCAAATTCACACCCTTTTTTTCCTGAAACTAGTAATCAGTATTGAGTGCCTGTTTATTTTCTCCTAAAACATCTCCTATACCCATTCCTTTCCTTTCCTGCTGCCACATACCAGCCCAAGCTCTTGCCTCAAGTGCTGCTGTCCCTCACCAGGCTCCTGTGCACCACAGCAACTGGCCTGTTTGGTCCCTCGTTGGTCCCTGGCCTCTCAGGTCCCCAGCCATGCCCTCATTCAATTCTGACTGTGATTTACAATATGAACCACATAGAATAGACCTTCTAGTGCCAACCTGTGTGAGACCGTGCAATAATATAACAGGCATTTCACACACTGGCCTCGCTTTCCTGGGCAGGAGAAAGTGGATTCCATTGAAGTTGGAAAAGTATATAGACACAGGGGTCAGGGAATTGGAGGAAGAGGGTTTAGATGGGAATTGCTGGGAAACAATCTCACCAGTGTGGGTTCCCCTCGGTCCATTTTGTCCCCTGTTCCTAGCTGCCCATATCTGTTATTTCCCTGCATGAAGACTCGGCCAAATTCATCCACCACGCCAAAGTGGTTATAGCCAAGGGCACAGAATAGGACCTAGGAGGTAAGAAAGAGGGCAGGTGGGCACTGAATTCCTGCCCAAGGAACTCTGAGATCCAAGATCTCCCATCTGCTAATCCTCTACCTCCCAGCTCATCCCTTTGGGCCTTGCCCTCTCCCTGGGCCCCCTACCCCTCCCTGGTTAATCATGGATCCCTGTTCCTATTTTAGGCCCTCAGGAGCTCCCAGTGCTTAAGGCCCCACCCATCTGGTCTGTGCGGGGGCCCCTCTGAGATCCTACCTTGGTAGGCACGGAGACAGCAAGCGGCATCTGCTGGTCCAGGGGGTCAAAGGCTTGAAGGGTCCCAAAGAGGTCACGATACACCCCTGGGGTATGCACCTCAAAATACACTGCCCCCTGGTCTGGGGGGTGGGAAGCCCTCAGCTCAGCAGCTTTGGGCACCCGTTTCCTAGGGCAAAGTTCCCACTTGGGATGAAAGCTGCAAGCCCAGGGAGCATCACACCCACTAGAAATGCAACCACTCTGACTCCTGGGAGCCTAGACCCAGCTTTTCAGAAGGCCCTAAGGGGCTCACACCACACAGCTGGAATAAGGGTGAGGGTGTCTGCCCAAGGCTGGGGGCTTGTGAGGAAGGGAGGTGGTTCATACCTGTGATGTAGAGGGCACTGCTTTGGTTGGAAGACATGCAGTTCACGCGCAGGTGAGGCAGGCAGCAGGACATCTTCCTGAGGGCCAGCTGAACTGTGTAGGAGCGCGGCTGGTCCAGCTGCGTCTCATTCACTACCAAAGAGTAGATCTTTCCTTCCTCTGGGGGATGAAGGGAGGGATACAATTACTCTGGGCCGGGGACTCATCAATATTCACATTACTCCCCAATATTCGATGAACTCCCCAAGCCACACGGAGGAACCTTTACTGCCCTAGAGACACACTGGAAGAAAAAGGGTAGAGATGAAATGGGAAGAGTGGTCCCAAGTCCCCTTCACCCCAGTTCCAAGAATAAGTCAAGGAACTATGTCAGCATGAGAGAGGAGTAGGGAGAGAAGCTGGCCATGTCAAAGGCACTTGGGGCCTGTCTGGCATTCAGAAGTCCAGAGGTTTTAGGCTTGAGGGAATGGTCAAGCACAGATGACACTGGGGAAGGGGGGCCAGTTTGGGGTATTAGGTGAGGTGCCTGGCTTGGTGGCAGGGGAGTAGAATTTTAGGAAAGTTTTGTTTTGTTTTGTTTTTGGTACCAGGGATTGAACTCAGGACCTTGTGCTTGCAAGGCAGGCGGCGGATGGTAGAACCACTGAGCTATATCCCTGGCCAGGGGAAGAGTTTTAACTGTCATTCATTAGAGTAGTCATCTTTCTTTCTTTCTTTTCCTTCCTTCCTTTCTTCCTTTCTTTTTCCTTTTTTGGCAGGAGGGCCCTTTATTCACATGAAATATGATACCCAGGCCTAGACTAGGAGGCAGATAAGAGCAGAGCTTTTTGGATAGAGAGAGCAGGAGCAGATGGCATGCAGGTCCTTGTGTGAAAGGCCTCCCTCCCCCTTCCTGCAGGGGCCCTGAAGAATCTGCAGGAAACATCTGCAAACCACTGCTTTAGGCCACACCCACACCTGTGAGGAGCAGCAGAACCCGCCCGGTCTCCTGCCCAAGCAGTGAAATCTGTTTGAAGCTCATGGAGTGGTGGAACATCATCTTGAAGACCCGCTGCCCGCTTGACTGCAGGAAGACCTCCACACAGTCACAGGCTCGGCTGCTGGTGGTGCCGGCCACTCCGGACTGCTCCCGAGTGGCCAAGACGTAGAGGTATTTACGATAAACCGTGTCGCATCTTGGGTCGGAGGCAAACTGTGGAGGAAAACGAGGTGTCTGGGATCCAGGGCCTCAGGAGGGAAAGAGGCTGGTAGGAGGTGAGCTACTGGGATCCAGGGAAAGGGAGAGAGATGTCCCGAGAAGGACACCTCAGGACTGCCAGGGTCCTGCTACTCACATCCTTGGCTCCACGACACAACACAACATAGCGGCACGCCCGCTTCCACTGGATCTGGCCCAGGGTGGAGGAGACCAGAGCATTTTTGAGGAAGAAGAGAGTCCCCAGGTAGTCGAGAATGAAGATGTGGTCCTTGGTGGGCAAGAAGCGGCGGTAGCCATGGGCTAGCAAGGGGGCCACGCTCTTGCTGAGACATCGGCGCCGGCCTCCAAATGCCTGGAAATACAGGCCCTTCGTGTCTGGTGAAGGGAAGGAGATGGAAGGTTCAGGGGCCAAGGCTGACAAGCAGGAGAATGGGTCAGAGCGTGGACAAACTGATTTCTCAGACTTTGTGCTATTTAGTTTTCTCCATTTCCAACCTGGGAAATAGAACCCTTCCTAAGGCAGTGCGGAAAAGTTAGACTCCAGTCTGCCCCTCCTTGGCCCAGGGCCACATCTGTGCTATTAAACAAGCCCCTCTTTGGTTCAACTTTGCATCAAAGACGTGAAGGAAGATAAGAATAAATACATAGAAAAGAGGCAGAAAGAGGACTGACATGACCACCAAAGGCCAGTAAGTGGATCTGCTTTCTGGATTAGTCTTTGGCCCTAGTCTGTGTGTGACAGAAACAATTGGATAGGGGCTCCCTGGAGCGCTTAGACGACAGCATGGTTCTCAAGCTGGGGCTGCTGACTTTGTCACTGGTTGTCCTAAGTAGGGAGGTGCTGGTGGAGTCAGAGGCAATGGTAAACATAATAGAATGACAAGACAGACCCCATCCCAAAGAATGACTTCATCATTCTAAACCAGTGGCCCTGATTTAGAGGAAGGAAATTCCAAGCTTGGTGAGGATGGGATGCCTTGGGGTGAGAAGTGGAAGAGCTGGTATCTGCAGGGACACTTGGGTGACATTATCAGAGGGTGGCCCTAGGGTCTCAGGAGAACTACTCATGGGGTGTGTTTGAATCTGATAGTGCCGAAGTGCCTTCGAGCTGGACAGGGAGCCCAGTTTACAGAGCAAGATTCCCAGAAGAAGGAAAGACAGAGGTGAGGAGAGAGGGGCGCTGGGGAAGGCATACAGTTCAGAACAGCTGCTCTCTTCCAGGGTCGGACTCCAGAACCCTGCTTCCGGAGGTATGGACTGAGCTTGCGGCAGATGCGCCTCCACACGCCCTCAGTGTCACACACTTCTCGGAAGTAGCGGCAGGTCTGGCCTAGGGCGACTGCATCTCGTACTGGGAGGAATGAGACAATATGCTCCACCTGGAGGTGAGGCCGGAAGCCAGGTTATTGGCATCCCTGAAGTGGTCTGGCCTCCAGTCCTGCATTCTCAATGCTGCCCCTCCAAGGCTCACCAGCTCTGGGGGGAACAGCTGAACAGAAACAGAGTTCCCTCTTCCCTTCTTCTCGTCACTCTCATGCTCTGGGCCAAAAGAAGGACAGTTCCGCTTCACCTACCCAAGGAGAAGAGTGGGGAGCATGGGAGTTCTGTGAGGGTGGCACCTCCTCCATCCTGATCTCAACTTTTCTTTCTTCTCGTTTGCTTTTTTTAGGTAGGATCTCACTATGTAGTTTAGTCAGGCTGGCTTTCAACTCACTATGTAGCTCAGGCTAGCCTGGAATTTGTGGCAATCCTCCTGCCTCAGCCTCCCAAAGGCTAGGCTCACAGGCATGTGCCACCATGCCCAGCTCACTCAACCTGTCTTTCGTGAACTCTCTCAGGGCTCATCTGACTTCTACTCTGTCCTGTCAAATCCTGCCATCTTCTCCAGGTCCTCAGGCCCACCCTCCCTGCCTGTTTTGCTCCCATCCTCACCACCCCCTCACCCGGAGCCCCTCCTCCCGACCACACAGCCCAGTCAATTTTTGCAGCTTCCGTCTCCAGCTTCTCCTCACCATCCTGACAGTCCCCTCCCTGCTCCTGCCCTCATCTCTCTGGGCCGTGTCCCCACTGCCTTTCCCACACCATGTCCCCTGTCTGGGCCTGGGGGACCCCTTGGGCCCCTCCTTCATGGAGTCCAGGCCAAATAAACCTCTCTGTGACCTCACTGTCCAGCCACTGTGACCTACTCTCCTGAACGTAGCCAGGTCTGGCTCCTAGGTTCTAGCTCATGTCTAGCCGCGTGGCTCATGGGACATGCAGGACACTGGAGAAATAAAGTATGAACTCCTGAGAAATGTTGCTTTGACTTGCAGCGGGGTAGATTTTCCCTCTTAAGGGCTTTTCAACACAAATGCTGTAGAGAAACTGGTGAATCCTATAAATTTCAGCAGGCTGGGCCTCCAGGGATTTGTAGCTTGAGATTACAAACTCAGAAGAGAAAAGTAGGACATTCTGACAGGTGAGGGGCAAGGGGCCCCTGCACTGACACCTGACCCAGACAGGAACCCAGCAACTCAGCACAATTCTTTTTTTTTTTAAAGAAAATATTTATTGAAAGATGGCTTCTAAGAGACAAGGGAGCAGGGAAAGCGGGTTGCCCCTCAGCACAGCTCTTCACAGTCACAGGAAAACAATCCCAAAGCAGGTCACTTTCCAGGGTCCAGCAACATCACTGCATGCACGAAGGACAAGCTGTTAAGGTGAGAGAAGGGGATGGATATTTGCTCTGAAAGCTTAGGACACATCCTGGGAGCCGAGGTGGGCTCTGAAGAGGGCAGAATGTCTACACCTTCAAGGAGTAGCTGGCTCTTCTGGGGGCTCAAAGGAATCCAGGCCTATGGACATCCAGCTGGTCCTGCAGGCAAGGACAGATCCATATTTATGCAACTAGCAAACAGCCACTTTGGAATACCTACGAAGGTAATTTAATGAGTTAGTATGTGTTTAGGCATATCAATGTCTGAGATGTCACGTGGGAGAAAGCCGACTTCAGTTATTGGTGGTCAGCAACTATGAGCATACAAAGTGGACTCTTTTGAGTCTTACTTCACTACAAAGAATGTGAAGATCTCCAAGTGGACAGAAAAAGCACTTTCCACTGCCTCTTAGATTTGGGTCCCCTTTCTGCACTCCATTCCCCCAAGAAACAAGCAAGAGGTTTCAGATAGACCAAGACCAGGATAAAAGCAGAGGAAGTCAGCAAAGCCCAGAGTGGAGGATCAAGACCTGGCATTTTTCCCCAGTACTAGGGAATAAATGCAAGACCTTCACACTGAACTGCATCTCCAGTCTTTTTGTCTTTTTGACACAGGGTCCTGCTAAGTTGTCCAGGCTGGGCTGGAACCTTGCATTCCTCCTGCCTCAGACTCCCAAAGTGATGGGATGACAATTGTGCACCTCCACGCCCAGTTGTCAGGCTCTCGCGCTTTGATCTTGCTAATTCATCAAACCGCCTTCCTGCCTCAGTTTCCTTGTAAAAGGAAGGCTTTGCTCAGATCATTGCAATCCTTTTAAAGTAGTTTCTAGAATACTGAGATTGGGTTATTACAATTTCTGCCCAGGGGAAGTTCTCTGGTGACGCCAGGGAGCCAAGCAACTCCCCCTCGATTCTCTGGACGACTATCAGCTCCAGGGTGCGCCCCTACCTCGCACCCCTCCACGCCTTTGGAGTCCCAAGACCTTTGCAGGGCCTCAGCCTCTACAGCCGGAAATGGCCTTGGAGGCCCTTTTGGCTGCAACAACTGCCTGCAGGCTGGCCTACAGCCGCCTTCGGCCTCTCTCACGCCCTCGACACTGGCTAGCTCTCTAGCACACGGGAATCGCACGCGTTACTCCGGCCCGGGCACTGCAATCCCAGCAGGCCCAGGGCGCTGCGCTCAATTTCTTTAAGTCACAGTCTCAAAGTTCTAGCTCACCCGCCTCCTTTAGCTAAGGGATCGCCTTCTCGCCCATGCTATTGGTATGTAGAGCCGTCCGTCAGGGAAGGGGTCGGACCAGCTTCCACTGAAGGCTCTAATTGGTCTTTTTGACAGTCACTCTGCTGTATCTGGTTCGTTATTGGTCTTCATTGGAAAAGGACTAGGCGCCTCTGGCTTGAGGTCTCCGGGTCTCTAACCCTATCTCATTGAGAGCTAGAGTCCCCACCTCCGGGTTGGATCCGATTGGCTCCATTTCTAGCCCTAAGCATGTGATTGGATGAAGCTGAGTTGGGGCGGACCGACCAGAAGCGACGGCCGTTGGCGAGCGCTCTAGCTCTACCCCTCCCTTCCCTCGTCTGGCTCCAGCACCCGACGCTCCACCCCTTCGGCGGATTCTGATTAGCCGCTTCCGATGTGTCTGCCGATTGCGATTGGCCCTCTGAGTTCCTGACCCCATTTCCTCTCCCTGAAGGCGACTACGGCGGCTCCAAGGAGGGGGAGGGAAAAGGAGGGACGGCCGGTCCCGTCAGTCAGGCAGCGGGAGCCGCCGGGAGCGGATGGCGGCGGCAGTAGCAGCGCCACTCGCTGCAGGGGGAGAGGAGACGGCGGCCACGACTTCAGTGCCAGGGTCTCCAGGTCTTCCTGGGAGCCGTAGCGCAGAGCGAGCCCTAGAGGAGGCCGTGGCCACTGGGAGCCTGAACTTGTCTAACCGCCGCTTGAAGCACTTCCCCAGGGGTGCGGCCCGCAGCTACGACCTGTCAGACATCACCCAGGCTGGTGAGTGCGTCGGACGCGGGAGCTCCCGCAACCCTCATTTACATAGCCCCGCCCACCTGCTCCCACCCCGCCCCGGGTCTGGCCCACCTCTTCACCTGGCCACAGGTTTGCTCACCCCTCCTGATTGGCATAAAAGTACGACCACTCCCTGCTATAGAATCCCTGGGCTACAGCACTTTTCTGGTTTCACCGAACGCTCAGCGTCTCCGGGTCAGGCCCCTCCCCTCTTCGTTTGCTTGTTGCGCACCTGCACAGTGGTCCCGCCCCTCACCTGGTTGGCTGATTTGTTATGACCTCTTATACATCAGTTCTGATCGTTCCTTAAAGCAGCCTCTCAGCTTTTCTAACCAGTTCCTTCTCTCTTTGCTCGTTGTCTGCAACTCCTTCCCTGTTCCACCGAGATCATAGCAGCCCTAGGCACCCCTTTCCCATAGATCGTCTCTAACGACGGGATGTTTCTGTTGACTTTGCCATAGTCCCGCCCCCTTAAGTCTCTGACCTCTACTCTTCACCCAGGCAGCGCATGGGAAACAAGCAAATCTTTTACCTCTCCTCTTTTCTCCCTAACTTCTTCCGCCTATTATTACTGACGTTATCTGAGACTTATCCTGCTTCGTCTGTGTAGTCACTGTGGAGTTTGCGACCTCATAGGTACACTAGAATTCCCACTTCAGTTTCTGCTTGCCTGGGGGAGGGACTTGAGGCAGTTGCTGAAAGGAAGGAAATCCTATCTCCTAGCTGAGAGTACTAGCCCCCTGGAGACTCCTTCCACTTCCCACCCTCTGGATACCTCTAATCATGCTTCCTCCACTCCCTGGTATCTGTTGGGGTGGGGGGGGCTTCTGTGACAGGTAAATGAGGCCTGAGCTGCTCCGGCGGCAGCCTGTGACCTCAGGCTGTCAGCGGGGGTTTGGGGATCAGGAGGGAAGAAGACTGTATTCCCAAAGGCTGCAACTAGGCTGGGGTGTGAGGAGGATTGGGGACGTGGGCCTGGATAGAAGTGTGCATTTCTTCCCAGGCAGGTGCCGGCCAGTCTGCAAACACTCAGCCAGGCCCAGGCACACTCTCCCTACTGTTCTGGGGAGAACCACTTTTAACCTCTTCTCTTGCCCCCTGTATAGCAAGTGAATTCAAATGGGTGAGCCCCAGAAGCTGTTCTTATCCCTCTTAGACGCCCCACCAACCCCTAAGCTCCAGATTGACCTCAGCAGCTGTGTGACACTTGCCGTCTGTTCTCTTTCCCCTCCCCCTTGCTTGTTTTTGACAAAGACCAAATGTTATTCTTTACTTCCTTAAGGGCTCTGTCTCAGTGGACTCTTGGGGAAAGCTACCATGAACTGCCAGCCCCTCCCAGCTCCTGTCCCCTCCCAGCCTCCTCCCTCAGCATTCCAGCTCAGGGTGCAGCTAGGGCTCCTGTGAGTTCCCTTGTGTGGTGAGGCGGGAAAATCCCAGCTTCCTGGGAAACCCTCTCTTCCCTCCTCAGTCCTGTCAGGGCCCAGGTTCTAGGTTAGGTGCGTTGTATCTTTATCAGATCTCTTTCTCTGCACCCTCTCCCTAAGCAGAATCCTTCCAGCCTGAAATGGAAAGGGGAAGTGATAAAAATCCAGAATTGCCCCTACCCTGCACTACATGTCTCCTTGTTGACCCAGATGAAATGTTTCAGTGCTCTGCTGCTGATCATTCTGAACCTTCTCCTCTTGCTTTCCAAGCTATTTATGAGTGTCTTTCTTCCCAGCATGTTTCCTATGTTTAGGCCCCTGGCACTCCTTGGACTCTGTTCCCTGGGTCACCTATAGGAAGACTCTGGGGGAGGGGCCACTGTAGCAAAGGAGAAGTGTAGCTCATTCTCTGACAGACCACATCCTGTGCCCCTAGCCCTGCCTCCTCCAACTTGGGTTCCCTTCCGCTCCTAGCTTTTGCCCTGACACCCACTGTTTACGCATCAGAACTTGGTCTCCACCCCTTCATCCACATGTGCATGCGCAAGTACATTGGTGGATGCAGAAGAAGAAACAGGCGTTGGGCACAGGTGGGAGGACCAGATGCAGTCCTCCTACCCTCTCCGGAACTGTCTTCTCCCATGCCAGGTTCTCTGTGTATGTGTACCCGGGCTGGGGCAGAGGGGGAGAGCAAGCAGTTCCTGGGCCATCAGGCCGTCGTCTACCTTGGCAAACATAGAGCCTACCAGAGACAACCTGATGGATTGTTTCTACTTTATATATCTGGGGTACATATCCAGCTTTCCCTCACTTTAGCCTTTGTTCTCCCTATACCCCAGGAGTGCCCTCGAAGGAGCTCACCAAGATCTGATGCTTGGTACTTCCCCAGGAGGGCTGGGCCCCTCCCAGTACAAGCTGGCTGAGCAAACAGAAACAGGTTTCTAGAGGGCTGTGCAGTTAGCAGTTCCAGACTGGAGGGAACCCTGGGGCCTGCCCCCTGGAGCTACTACCTGAGATGGGGAGGATAATGGTCTCTTCCTATCCCCACTTCTCTACATCCAAGGTACTTACAAAGGTGAAGAACTCTTGAGGGGAAGCAGAAAGC